ATGGACATTAGTTCTAGACCTAGATACCTTCTTTTACAGAAATGTACGAGCATTACTTTTATTATAGAAGAGTACACATACAGAGTTAACTGTGCCTAGGAGTAACTGGGACATCTCATTTTCTCAATGTCAAAAGAGTTCCGGTTTCTGCTGTTTGGGATAGTGGTTACATGGCATTATTTGGTTTCCTCCAACTTTATTGAGATGAAATTAACAAATAAAAATTGTATATTTCAAGTACACAAAGTGGTATTTTGATAGATATATGTGTGTGTGTATATATATATATGCTGTGAAATGATTATGATTCTGAATTCATTTTCTTGTAATAAAAAATTGTGATGTTTACGTATAACCAAAATAGAATCATAAAATCCAAGAACTGTACAAGTTAACACCCACGTTTTACAAATAGGGCACTCTAGGTTTCAAGAACTCAGTGACTGCTTTGGTGTTCCTCTCACCACTGATTCCTTCTCATCTCCCTAACCTCTTGTTCTTGGAATGCTCCAGACCTCAGTCTGTGGATTTTGTCTTTTCTCTACCCCTATTCTATCCCTTGGTGATCTCATACAGTTTTGTGACTTTTAAAACAATAAATGTAACCAACAGGATCTCACCCCTCAACTCTAAACTCGTATTCGAATGTTTATGACAACCCCACTTTGGATATCTAATAGGCATCATAAACTCAAACATGTCCTAAATCAAAGTCCTAGTCTTCTTTCTCAAGTTTGTCCTTTAGTCTTCTTTGTCTCAGTTAATATCAACACCATCTTTCCAGTTGCCCAGGCTAATGATCGTGCTGTCTCCTACAATGCTTTCTCTCACAACTCACATCCAAACCATCAAAAAATTCTGTAGGCTCCACCTTCGTGATATACCCCAAATGAAGCCACTTATCATCTACACTTTTTTTTTTTTTGAGACAGAGTCTCACTCTGTTGCCCTGGCTAGAGTGCTGTGACATCAGCCTAGCTCATAGCAACCCCAAACTCCTGGGCTCAAGCAATCCTTCTGCCTCAGCCTCCCGAGTTGCTGGGACTACAGGCATGTGCCACCATGCCCGGCTAATTTTTTCTATTTTTGGTAGAGACGGGGTCTCGCTCTTGCTCAAGCTGGTCTCGAACTCCTGAGCTCAAACGATCTACCTGCCTCAGCCTCCCAGAGTGCTAGGATTACAGGCGTGAGCCACCATGTCTGGCCATCACCTACACTCTTACCCCCTATTTTAAGCCTCCATTACCTCCCACCTGGATTATTATCATAGCCTCCACATTGATCTCCCTGATTCTGCCCTTGGTCACTTGCAGCTTATTCTCAAAATAGCAGCTACAGTTAATTCTGTTAACACTGTACTTAAAGATTTTGGGGTTTTGTTCAGATTTTTATTGAGGTATAAAATATCCTATTCAAAAATCCACTAACAGCTTCCTATTGCAGAATAAAAGCCAAATCCTTACAATTGCATATAAGGCACTATACTACATGGTCCACATGACCTCTCAGGCCCCATCTCTTGCCACTCCTCGAATTCCATTGCAGCACCATCAGTCCTATTAACGTTCCTTGATCCAGGCATGAGCCTACTTCAGGGGCCTTTTTATCCCCTTCCTCTCATTATTATGATGTTAGCTGTAGATTTTTATTACGTTAGGTTAAGGAGGGTTCCTCCATATTCCTAGCTTGCTAAATTTATTTTAAAGCGATGTGAGTCATTTACCATAAAATTAATCATCTTAAAGTGAACAATCCAGTGGCACTCAGTACATTCACATTGTTGTGCAATCACCATTTCTATCTAGTTCCAAAACATTTTCATCACCTTAAAAAAGAACCCTAGACCCATGAAGAAGTTGCTCCCCATGCCCCTCTCCCCTCAGCTCCTGGTAACAACTAATCTGCCTTCTGTTTCTATGGATTTGCCTATTCTGGTTATTTCATATAAGTGGAATCATACAATTTGTAACCTTTTGTGACTGATTTTTTTCACTTAATGTAATATTTAAGAGGTGTATACATGTTGCACGAAGTATAAGTACTTCATTTCTTTTGTGGCAGAATATTCCATTGTACAGATATACCATTTATCCCTTTATCTGTGCATGATGCTTGGGCTGTTTCTATCTTTTAGCTTTTGTGAATACTGTTGCTATGAACATGCGTGTACAAGTATCTGAGTATCTGCTTTGAATTCTTTTGGATATATACCTAGGAGTGGAATTGCTGGGTCATATGATAATTCTGTATTTAACTTCTGAGGAAATGCCAAATTGTTTTCCATAGTGGCTGAACCATTTTACAATCCCACCAACAATGTATGAGGTGGGCTCATACACTTCAGGGCTTTTCATACTAGTTTTCTCTCTCTGGAATGCTCCTCTGGTAGATACCCAAGTGGCTCACTTCCTTACCTCTTTCAGGTCTTTACTCAAATACCATCTTCTCAAGAAGGCCTACTCTGACCATTAAATTTAAAATGGTCAACCAATTTCAATTTGCTATCAACAAGTTCATATTTGCTATCTCCCCATCCCCCATTTAATTTTTCTCCATAGTACTGATCATTGTCTAACATACTCTGTAATTTTCTTATTTATTCTGTATTGTCTGTCTCTCATCATTGATACATAAGCTGCATGAAGGCTGAGATTTCAGTTTGTATTTCCAGCACCTAGAACAGTGTCAGGCACATAGTAGGTGCTCAACAAATATTTGCTGAATAAACAAATGAGGCCAAAAGAGGTGTTTTGCCAAAGTGTGACAAAAAGAAGGGTAAGACTCTAAGTCTCTGTAGTTTAGTGATTATTTTTCTAATAATGGTGATGGATTGAAACTGAGCCAACCATAGCTTTTATTCAGTTGAAATCAAAAAGCACACATGCACAAGATGGCTATTTCTTTTTCTTTTTTCTTGGACAGAGTCTATCTCTGTTGCCCAGGCCAGAGTGCCGTGGCGTCAGCCTAGCTCATAGCAACCTCAAACTCCTGGGCTCAAGCAATCCTTCTGCCTCAGCCTCCCAAAGCGGTGTGCTACACAATGTCCACCCATCCTCTAATTATTTTTTATATATTTTTAGTTGGCAATTAATTTCTATTTTTAGTAGAGACAGGGTCTTGCTCCTTGCTCATGTCTCGAACTCCTGACCTTGAGCGATCCTCCTGCCTTGGTCTCCCAGAGTGCTAGGATTACAGGCATGAGCCACTGCGCCGCCGACGGCTATTTCTGAATTAAGCAAAAGAATGATTTAGAATAACCTAAAATAAAGAGGGATTAGACTGTCAAGCTAAAACCCAACAGCACCAAGTAAAACTCAACTAACTGCCTGTAATAAGCAAGCTTAGTATTGACTGTGAAACATTTTATTTAAACAAAGCAAAAAAAAAAATGTTACAGGACATAAAGCTTTAAGACTATTATATTTTAAGAAAAATAACCTGATACATATTACAAGAAATGGAATCCCATGGAAAAATACAAAGCTGTACCTCTACATAAAATACTGCTATAGCAAGAATGTGGTTTTCATATTTTTGAACTATGACAGAGATAAAAAAATCTGTAAATAAAAAAGAGGACCTATGTTAAAAATGCAAAGAAGTTATTTCTGGGCAAAAGTTTAAAACTTAAAGAAAAATTGGGTTATTAATGCTGCTAAATTGTATACCTGAAAAAGGTTTAAACAGCAAATTTATATTTTACCACAATAAAAGTAAAAAAAAAAAAATAGGCAGAAAGATGGTGATTGAAAAACATCCTAGACAGGTATGGAAATGAAGACTAGAGCACCACCAAAGTCCACTACTATGATATAAGCCACTTTTGGAGATTATGGAAAATCATTTACAGCAGAAATCAGTCTGGAAAATCAAAACTAATGGATTCAAATCTTTTGATTATGAATTGAAAGGAGTATATTACATAACAAGTGGTCATTGAAACTGCCTTTTAATGTTTCAAAGAACATTCAAGCAGTTCTGATTTTAGAGTAAGAAAACCACTCATGATTAGGTCAAACAACTTCGGAGCCTGCCCACTTTCGTGGTTATTAAGATCACAAAGGGGGCTTCTGCTAGCCTTTAAAGTTCAAGAAATTAGTAAAGTTTAAATTGTGAGCTTTTGGCCGGGCATGTGGGCTCACACCTGTAATCCTAGCACTCTGCGAGGCCAAGGCGGCAGATTGCTCGGGTCAAAAGTTCAAAACCAGCCTGAGCAAGAGCGAGACCCCATCTCTACTATAAATAGAAAGAAATTAATTGGCCAACTAATACATATAGAAAAAATCAGCCGGGCATGGTGGCGCATGCCTGTAGTCCCAGCTACTCGGGAGGCTGAGGCAGCAGGATCGCTTGAGCCCAGGAGTTTGAGGTTGCTGTGAGCTAGGTTGATGCCACGGCACTCACTATAGCCTGGGCAACAAAGCAAGACTTTGTCTCAAAAAAATAAATAAATAAATTGTGAGCTTTTAACTGTGCTGGAGGAAAGAGTGCTAGAGGGACTCAGACAAAGCTCCGTAGATAAAGTTCTCAGTCTGTAGGCCAAGCAATTGGGATTTATGTAACTGGAGCAAAGCAAGGCTCCTAGTTATACAATATGATATACAGCTTTTATATGAAATGATTTATTAGAAAAGCAAAGCAATGCTCCAAGTATACGATATGATCTACAGCTTTTTTTTGAGACAGAGTCTCACTCTGTTGCCTGGGCTAGAGTGCTGTGGCATCAGCCTAGCTCACAGCAACCTCAAATTCCTGGGCTTAAGCAATCCTACTGCCTCAGCCTCCCGAGTAGCTGGGACTACAGGCACGTGCCACCATGCCCAGCTAATTTTTTCTATATATTTTTAGTTGGCCAATTAACTTCTTTCTATTTTTAGTAGAGACATGGTCTCACTCTTGCTCAGGCTGGTCTCGAACTCCTGATCTTGAGCGATCCTCCCACCTCAGCCTCCCAGAGTGCTAGGATTACAGGCGTGAGCCACCGCTCCCGGCCAATCTACAGCTTTTATATGAAATTATTTATTAGAAAATAATTCCTGAGGCACTTTAACAATACAAATTTTATTAAAAAAATAAGTAATAACATCAAAACTGTTCAGCAAATCTATATTCAATGTAACCAAAATAAACAAACACCAAATTAAAAAAAATATACATCTATATATATATGGGCAAGAAACAAGTGCATTTTTGGTCCCAATATTTTCTTGAATATATTATCTTTATCCAAAGGAATTACATTAATGGCTAAGAAGATATTATGTATTAGATGTACAGAAATGTAACTTTAAAACTTGTTTTAAGGACTGTAAGTTTTTGGGAACTTTTTGCCAATTCATAATCCCTAAGATAATGTTAATGGTAGGCCAGAGATAGACACAGCATGTAACAATGTCTAATGGTCTGAATAAGTCTCAAGTTAAGGAGCTACCAATAGGTAGTTATATGAAATCTGTAGAGAATTCTAAGAAATTCATTGGAGCTCTTAACAAAAAACCCAAACAAACACAAAACAAAAGCTTTAAAGAGAATAGCACAGAAGTAGACATAACAAAATGGACATTAATACATTTGGTAAGAACAACATAAAACTGAGCTACCAAAATAAAAGTTTAAAAATTAAAAAATATGAATATTAATATTGCTGAAAATTCCTAGGATTAATACTGGATAAAACTTTACATGACAATATGAATAACTTTAACTTTGGAACTGTAATTTTAGAAACTTTACTTTTCCAAAAACATGAAAGTAACCTTGGTTCTCTACACAACCAGAATTTTTATATTCCTTGGACTGCATGCATGCTACAGGAATATTAAAGAGCAGCAGTCAAAATGATTACACTTCAACTTGGATGCTGAAGTATTGATTTGATGAGCTTTTCTTGGTTAGAATTGATCCATAAGCTCAAGATGAAAAGCCAAAGCCCCCAGAGGGAAGTTGTGCTCAATTTGGTAGGCCTTGAGGTCATCTCTGGCCAATTAAGCATCAGCCTTATGGGAGGCCAGTCAGATAGGAAGGGACTCTCCCCAAGATCTGATTTCTTAAGGCCACAAACTAGAGGAGGTCTCACAGTCAAATAATTCACATTCCTTGGAAAGAGAGAACAGGCATCAGTTGTGTCCATCGAAGGGGGACACTGTCCAGGAGTACCATGGACATTTTTTGAAATTTCTGTGTTGTTTCTGCATCTGGAAAATATGAAAAATAGAACAATGACAGACAAGAAACGAGGAAAAAATGGCTATTGACCTAAAAATGTAAGACATAAGAAATTAAGAAAGCAGACAAAACAGACAAAAAAGATGAATAGCCATATTGTTTGGAATGTAATATTCTGAAGGCAAGTACAGCAGAGAAGAATACATATTTTAAGCAAAACAAGAAAAGACCATAGCAACAAAAGTTATTTTTGGAGAGCCGACTGTTAAGATATGTTAACCTGACACAAAGATAAGGTGGAATAAGAATCTAGTGCCATCTGAAAGCTGAAAAGAGCTGAATAATGAGAGCTAGTGTCATGAACGTGACTGTTTAACCGCCTTTATGTGAGAAAACACTTCAGAACTTTGAACTTAGGAAACTGCTTTTGTATAAAACACTTCAGAACTTTGAACTTAGGAAATTCCAACTTGTCTTGCACCAGGTTGCACGAGCTCCATAGAGCAGGAATCTATTTCAACAAGCGGCTTTAAAAAAAACAAAAACAAAAAACTTTAATATTTTTCATTTCTATCAATGATACATTTTAAAAATGCAACAATGCTAAAATCCATCAAAGTAAAATGCACTGAATGAAAATTCAACTTACTCAGAAGTAGGTTCAGAAGTTGAGGTACTTTCAGAAACTGAAATCAGAAGAAGAGTTTTATGTTTAAAATAGCATATATGAAGAGTGAGATTTTCAATTTAATGCATAAGAGCCCATATTATGGCTGACCAAAAATATTGGAATAAATATCAGAAATTCAAAGTAACACAATTATGTATACATACCATTCTCTATTATCACTTGGCAAGTATGAGTTTTACGTTGACTTAAGTGTTTAGCCATACGATCTAATCCAGAAGAATCAGTTAGGAAATCACATTTAAGGCACACTAGAGTAATGCCCCTGTGAAAAAAGAAGACAGTAAGAAAGAGAAGTTATCTTTTATGGAAATATATGCATGAGTTCAATAATTATTTTTCCACTTAATTAACTTGATTTTCATTTTATGTACCATGACCCTCATTTCCCAATTTTGTTATATAAACCTGATATATCTAAAATGATTCTCTAGAAAATGGTACTATAGCCATGTCTAAATTATGCCAGCAGTAATGCTTTATAAATTGTTCCCTCTCAACCTGTTATTAAAAGCTAGGTGTTAAGAGACCCAAAGCCCAGTCTTGCCTCCCTTAACAATTTTTGTAACATGTGCAAGTCACAATTTTTCCATGACTTTGCCTACCTGCAAAGCAAGGATGTAACATTCATTCAGTTAAATATGTAAGTTTACATTTGCTGAGGACCTTCTTCACACATAATACTGGGTATTATGGATACAATAGTGAATAAAAAGGGTACAGTTTTGGGGGCTTATAATCTAGTGTCTTATTTAAGTGAGAATAAAATTGTAAAAGAAATGTGAAGGTTTTAAAAATAAATCATGTAATATATATATAATATAATCATTATCAGTTTATTAACAATGCATATATATTCTTTTAACATTGGTCATATACTTTAAACTTAAATATTTCACCTGTATAGGAATAAAAACCAGTAGCATACTTTCGACTTACTACTCCCCTGAAGCTCTGGCCTTAACAGCCTGTTGTATATTCATTCCTGTCACTCTTACACATCAAAAATTATCTTTCTAAAACTGAAATCATGTACTTTCCTCTCAAAAATCACCTCTCCTGACTGGTCCCTCTTATAATGCCATTTCTCTAATACTGAGGCTCAAAATTATAGTTATCTCTGATTTTCTTCTTCCTTAAAACATTAGATGTTTTGAACATTTTATAATATTAACAAGTTATTGAGCACTTACTCTGTGCCAGCGTGAGGGTTTTAGACATATCATCTGATCTAAACCTTATAACAACCCAGAGGTAGGCACTATAATTATCACTTTTTTATAGAGGACAGGGTCAGGATTAGTAACCTACCAAGGCCAGGACCAGGTTTGAAACTGAGGCCAGGTTTGAAATTGAGCCCTTTGATTCCAGAAGCCTATGTTCTTAAATATGATGCCACATTGCTAACTTAACCCAGGTCAGTACTAAATCAGTCTTAACCTCAATAGAATAACCAGTCTATGTGCCTCATGCAGCTACAACTTACCTTGTATATCCTTCCAAATTGATCTTCCTTTAGTACATTTGATTCTATTCAAAATACCAATGGTTTCCCCAATGTCCTCCAAATTAAAATTAAGTCCAAACTCCTTAGCTTTGTTTTCAAGGATTTCACAATCTGGATCTAAGCTCAAAATTATTCCCCCAGACTTTGATCTTTCCTTCTTCTTCTTCTTCTTTTTTTTTTTTTTTTTGAGACAGGGTCTCCCATTGTCACCTGGGCTAGAGTACAGTGGCATCATCATAGTTCACTGCAACCTCAAACTGCTAGCTTTAGTGATCCTCTTGCATCAGCCTCCCTAGTGGCTGGGACTACAGGTGCATACTACTATGTCCAGATAATTTTACTGTATTTTGTAGAGATGGGGTCTTCCTCTTGCTCAGGCTGGTCTTAAATTCCTGGCCTTAAGTGATCCTTCTGCCTTGGCCTCCCAAAGTGCTAGGATTACACGTGTCAGCCACTGCACCCAGCCCAGATTTTGATCTTAACACCGTGTTATATGAACTTCGTGCTCTATCCAAATTATACTACTAGTTATACATTGTGACTCAGAAGAATGTGTATGGTTTCTGTTTTTTCCTTTCTGCATTTTTATTCATGCTATTTCTTCCAACTGGAATAGCCCCGTGCCTCTTCTTCTTTTTTTTTTTTTTTTTCTCTTTAAATTTTTTTATTTTAGCGTATTATGGGGGTACAAGTGTTAAGGTTACATATATTGGCCATGTCCCCTCTTCCCCCTTGAGTCAGATCTTCAAGCGTGTCCACCTCCCCCAAATGTTGCACATCTTACTCATTGTGGTTGTATATACCCATCGCCTCTTCCCCTAGAAACCTCTCTCCTCTTTGAAATTAGTAACTCTCACTGCACTTATTACAAATCTCCTTGTATTACTGTGGTTATTTATGTTCACACCTTATAACCAAAATGTCCAATAGATTAGACATTCCTTGAAGGTTGGTACCAAAGCTTTCTTCTTCATTACTGTCATCTGTATAAGACCTGCTACATCATGTTATATGTGACAAATACATAATAAATAGCTAAAGAATAAACATTTCAACAAAATAGTAATTACAAAAACTACATTATAGAATTACAATATGGTAAAAATAAAATTAAAGTCTCATCTTTAGAATTAATAAATCCCTTTTCATTCTTATAAAAAAATTTCAAGCTGGGCGTGGTAGCTCACGCCTGTAATCCTAGCATTCTAGGAGGCTGAGGTGGGCAGATTGAGCTCAGGAGTTCGAGACCCCATCTCTATTGAAAAAAAAAAAAAGAAAGAAATTCTCTGGACTATATATGTGTGTGTGTGTGTGTGTGTGTGTGTGTATAAATTAGCTGGGCATGGTGGTGCATGTCTGTAGTCCCAGCTACTTAGGAGGCTGAGGCAGGAGGATTGTTTGAACCCAGGAGTTTGAGGTTTCTGTGAGCTAGGCTGACGCCACAGCACTCTAGCCCGGGCCACAGAGTGAGACTGTCTCAAAAAAAAAAAAAATTACAGTAAAACTAATGCCTAATATAGCTTATTATTTAATTCCTTGAATTTAGCAATCTGTTAACCACTTCAGTACGAGCGTCGACTATAGTCGACAGCCACAGATGAACGTGTACGACGACTTCAGCTGACAGCCATGATATGAAGGTGCACAGCTGAGCATCGACTTTAGCCGACAGCCCTGATATGATTATTCTAATTTTTCATTTATCAAAATAAAATTGTGAACATTTAAAAATAACGTAATAAAAACATATATGTAAATGTTACCTATTCTGATTTACATTACAAGGAAAGCTGCCTGTAAAGTAAAACAAGCTTTCAGTGCTTTAAAGCTTTCCTCATCATACAAGAGCAAAATAGATTCGACGTCAATGCACAGCACAAACTATTGTTCGGACTATGAGTGCCGGCTGTGGGCAAGGTTTCCTGCCAGTAAGCATCGTACCAAAGTGGTTAAACACAGGACTAATATATATTTAAAATAAAATCAAACTTTCCTCTGCCAAATGAGCTGTTGGTCCAACATCAACCACATATGTCATTTTTAACATATACATTAACTTACTCAACAAATTTTTTACCAAGTGCCTACTATGTGCTAGGTACTATTCAATGCCTGGCAAATGTCTGTCAACATGAATAAAACATGCAGTCAAAGGAACCAGAAGAATGTGGAAAAAAAGGTGTTTCTGAGCTTAGTGTGTGGTGTGACCAAGGTTAATTATCAACGGCTTTAGAAATATTAATCAACAAGTCTTTCTGTACAACAAAAAAGTTGTAGCTTTTATTTCAAGAAAACCCCTAAGAATTATGAAGACTATATATCGATTTCAAGTATTATAGTGTTTTAATAAACTTACTTCTATTCAAATGTTGTTGCAGAGCTTTATTTTTGTTCTTTTACAATGCAAATACCTGAAGGTTTCATCTTAATACCTGGCACTGCTAAAAGACAGTTCAGCCAAAGATAACAGGCTATTTCCCCCTTTTGGTCTAAGGATATAATAAACAGAACTTTATCATGTTAAGTAGTAATCATTCAGATTTCCCAAATAGGCACTCCAACATCAGGTTTTAAGAAGTTACTACAATTTTTCAATAGGGAAAATGGAAAAAGACCAACTAGTTACCTGAGTGTTCCTGAATGCTTCTTAAAAATATAAAATCGTTTACTTGGATGGCTGCTATGAAAGCTGGAGAGACAAAAGACAAACAAGATTTTATTAATTTTGTTACACAATAAGTCATATTAATTTTATGATCACATTTCAAAACTACGCTTTATTTCTTAGTTTTGAATATAAGATCACAATCTAAATAATAAAATCCTGTTGGTCACTGCTACGATCTGAATGTTCATGTTCCCCCAAAATTCACGTTAAAATTTAAACCCCACAAGGTGATGGTAATAGGCAGAGCCCTCATGAATGGGGTTAGTGCCCTTATAAAAGTGACCCTAGAGAGCTAGCTTGTCACTTTCACCATGTGAGGATGCAGTGAGAAGTGCTGTCTATGAGGAATGAGCCCTCACCCAGACACCAAATCTGCCAGTACCTTGGATTGTAGACTTCCAGCCTCCAGAACTGTGAGAAATAAATTTGTTGTTTATAAGCTACCCAATTGATGGTATTTTGTTATAGTAGCCTGAACAGATTAAGACAGTCATCTCTATTTAATTCAAGACTTTTATCTTACATTCCATTTTACCTGTATATTTTCTAATAATGTATTTCCCTGACAATATTCTTAGATGATCAGAACTATTATTAAAAAGGTACTCAAAGAGTTAAAAATGCAAAGAGCATCAAATTAAATTTTTTCAACTATTAAGAGCAAAAACAATTTAAAAATATATTTGCTAATAATGTACTTTTCTATAATAGAAATGAAGAATAATAATTATTTATTACTTTCTAATCTTAATATGTTTAGGGAGGAGGGATAATATGAATGATCCTAAAAGTAAACACTACATGTGCTAAATGCCATTGCTTAACATCAGTAAAATGAAACATTTAATGAGTCCTTTGCAATTACTAAGATAACTTTTAAAGAATGCATATATATATAATTTTTTTTTTTTTTTGAGACAGAGTCTCACTTGTGTGCCCAGGCTAGAGTGAGTGCCATGGTGTCAGCCTAGCTCACAGCAACCTCAATCTCCTGGGCTCAAGTGATCCTACTGCCTTAGCCTCCCAAGTAGCTGGGACTACAGGCATGCACCGCCATGCCTGGCTAATTTTTTGTATATATGTTTTTTAGTTGGTCAATTAATTTCTTTCTATTTGTAGTAGAGACGGGGGTCTCGCTCTTGCTCAGGCTGGTTTTGAACTCCTGACCTCGAGCGGTCCGTCCACCTCGGCCTCCCAGAGTGCTAGGATTACAGGCATTAGCCACTGTGCCGGCCTAAAGAAAGCATATTAAATAAAGTAGACCTCATTAAGCCTCACTGAGAACCTACTGAATTAATCTCTGTCAGTGGGGCCCAGAAATCAGTTTTAATGAGTTTTCCAGATGATTCTTATGCAAGCTAAAGTTTGAGAAGCACTGGCCCTATCTTGCACTGACAAACTCAAACTAGCCAACACACCAGGTCAATGGTTACCCTCAGACACAAGGTAACCATCACCAGCATAATATATACGCATGGGAAATGAAAAGATTCTGGCCAGATATAATTCCAAGAAAATATCCTCAGGATAGGTGCCAAGGTGAATACAAAGAGCTCCTCTCTCAAAGAGCTAATAGAGATGCTAGGCAGAATAACTTGAGTGTTACAGAACTCAAGAAAGGAATGATCCTTATGAGTGGCTGTGTTGACCAGATATTGCATAGAAGGTGAACTGAAAAGGAAGGAGAGGGGCAATCCAGGGAATAATCAAGAATATAGGGCCGGGCGCGGTGGCTCACGCCTGTAATCCTAGCTCTCTGGGAGGCCGAGGCGGGCGGATTGCTCGAGGTCGGGAGTTCAAAACCAGCCTGAGCAAGAGCGAGACCCCGTCTCTACTATAAATAGAAAGAAACTAATTGGCCAACTAATATATATAGAAAAAATTAGCCGGGCATGGTGGCACATGCCTGTAGTCCCAGCTACTCGGGAGGCTGAGGCAGAAGGATCGCTTGAGCCCAGGAGTTTGAGGTTGCTGTGAGCTAGGCTGACGCCACGGCACTCACTCTAGCCTAGGCAACAAAGTGAGACTCTGTCTCAAAAAAAAAAAAAAAAAAAAAAAAAAAAAAAAAAGAGTTTTTAAAAAAAGGGTTGGAAGAAAAAAAAAAAAAAAAAAAAAAAAAAAAAAAAAAAGAATATAAAAAGCTGTCTTCAAAATAGTGTTGGAAGCAAAAATATAAAAAATAAAAACATAAAAAGCCACTTTAGATATTGAATATGGAGAAACTACATTGCGGAACATTGGGGAAGATTAATCAATTTGGGGGGGCCTATCTTCTGGCCACAGAATTGTTGTATATGAGAATAAAAGTATACAACCTCTGAGAAAATGAAGCTTCTGTATATACAGAGCTCAAGCCTATAATAAAAGTCCACACTGGGTAGAATGTGAGGGTGTACCATTCAGGGGGAGGTGCCTGAGGCAACGAGGGAATCAAGGTGCCATTGAAGTAGGGGAAAAGCACAGAATAAGAGAACGAAATTGCTCCCAGTGGTGTACTGAGGGGAAAGGCCAGCTGGAGTCTGGTTTGGAGCAACTTAAGAGAGGATGCAGAACCACTATAGCAGTGGGAAGGCAGAATGGTAAGTTGCAGAAGGTGGACTCTCAGGAAGCCATATGGTGGCAGATCAAGACAGCTTCATAACTTGGGACAGTGAATTATTTCTAGCTGGTACTTCATGTTTATGCAAATATATAGATGCTAGTGAGTCAAAAGCGAAAATATCAAATGGAAATAAAGAGTTGGATCTCAGGAAAACTCAGCATTGAAATCGGAATATTTACAGTTGAAAGGTAAAAAGTAAAACTCTGCGAGTGGTTAAGATACCAAGAAAGGGATTATAAAGGGGCAAGAAGAGTTGAAGGAAGAAAAGATAATTAAATAGAGTAGCTAAAAAGGAAGAAGAAGAAAAACAGAACTTGAAAAGAGTTTCATAAGTGAGTGATCAAAAATGTCAAATACGCTGAGGAAGTCACAGAGGAGTAAGAATGAAAAATAGTGAGTATATTTAGTGATTAGGATATGACTGATAACCTTTAAAGGAGAAGTTTTAGCTATAGGTCAGGGTGACACTCAAATTACAAAGGATAAAAAATGACAAGCTAGTAAAGAATATTCTTTACAAATATTGATGGCAAAAGGAAGACAAGAAAATATGCAAAGTAAAGGCAAATCTCCCTTACCCTAAAAAAAATCCTGAAAATATTTGCAGGCAGAAGGAATGTGGTAGAGAGAAAAATATGAACTAAAGGTCTGAAAAAATGGAATAAGGTGGAGGAAATGCAGAATGTAGGAGATGAGGAGCAAGGGTTAACTTCAAAAAAATGGGACATGTCTGGTTTTTTAAAATCTTTTTCTTTTTTTTTTTTTTAAATGGTTGTTATAGCGCATGTCTGTTTTCTGAGATTAATGTCTGGATGAAGGAAAAAAATCTTGAGGTAGAAAAAAGTTAATCTTGAGAAAAACAAAAAGGATGACCTTTGAGTAATCAGTAGGAAGGTTAACAACTGAAAAACTAGAATAAAATCTTGAGGGTACCGAAAATGGTTTAAACAGATGTAGTAGATAAAAACAAAGAGGTACTTTTTTTTTTTTTTTTTGAGACAGAGTCTCGCTTTCTTGCCCAGGCTAGAGTGAGTGCCGTGGCGTCATCCTAGCTCACAGCAACCTCAAACTCCTGGGCTCAAGCGATCCTCCTGCCTCAGCCTCCCGAGTAGCTGGGACTACAAGCACGAGCCACCATGCCCGGCTGATTTTTATATTATATATATTAGTTGGCCAATTAATTTCTTTCTATTTTTATGGTAGAGACGGGGTCTCGCTCAGGCTGGTTTTGAACTCCTGACCTTGAGCAATCCGCCCGCCTCGGCCTCCCAGAGTGCTAGGATTACAGGCGTGAGCCACCGCGCCCGGCCTCAAAGAGGTACTTTTAAAAAGACAGGACCAAATTAAAGTTAAAGATCATGAATTCGGAGCTGAATCAAGCAGTTTGTAGTCTAGAACTGAGCACAGAACAAAAAGGATAAAAGAGTTAAGGATAGCAAGGCTAAGCATGACTGAAGATATAAAGGATTCTAGGATAAAAACAAAGCAGCATTCAAAACGATGACCTGGAGGGTGAGGTTGATTACAAAATTGGATTGGTGCTGCTGGGCTAGAAAAAGGGGTCAAGAACCTGAAAGTCAGGGGGTAATGAGAATTCAAAATAAATACTGTCTATGATGAGTAAGACGGGATGGTGGTAAGAAAAGGGATACAAGTTAGAGGTGGATGTGAAATGCTAGCACTAAAGAAGTCAAGGTACCATGAGGTCAGGCTGGTCATCAAGGGGGAAAAACCCCTGTGAGCTAGGTGCTGAAGCTGTCAAAAAATGTGGGCGAATCTGTCAAAGTAGTAGTGGACTATGATCAGAAAGTAATACAGAGGTCTTGCCATGATCTGTAAGAAAACCACTTTTATTGGTTATACCTTATTTCTAACTGAAAATAAATGCAACTATCTTGATGTAAATAATCAATTTATCATAGCTGTATCTGAACACTTTTTGGCTATTTAAAATAAAACTCATCCTGAAGGAATAAAGTAAGGCTCAGTAACGAGGTCCAAATAAAAGTACTGTGGGCTCTGAAGTCTTTTCCTAGTATAGAGTACACAGCAGGTGCTCAAATAATTTAATTCAAATAGATATATGAAAATGAATCCCAACAGTTGCATTATGACCAGAATATCGCTATAGTCTCTCATTTTACATTTTATTGAATACATGCAAAGATGGATGGCTAGAAAGACAAATAGACAGATGGATGGGGGAGGGGAAGAGAGAGGGAGAGAAAGGGAGAAAGAGAAAATAAGGTTCTGAGCACCATTAAAAAACCTAGAGCCTCTCAAAGTGACTGCTATGCAGAGGACAACACTCATGAGGTTACATATATAGCTGTCCCTCAGTATCCATGGGATCCTGGTTCCAGGATCTCCCATAGATAACAAAATCTGCAAATACTCAAGTCCCTGATATAAAATGGTATAGCATTTGCATATAACCTATGAATACCTTCCTGTATACTTTAAATCATCTCTTGATTACTTATAATACCTAATACAATGTAAATGCTATGTACTTAGTTGTTATACTGTATTGTTTAGGGAATAATGACAAGAAAAAAGCCTGCACGTGTCTAATACAGATGCAATTTTTTTTCCAAAACACTATTCAAAGGGAAATTTCAGATGAACATTTTCCCCACTTAACAAAGGTCACTGATGAGCAGGATGATATACGTGAATCATTTGAAGAATACACAGCTGTTATAGACCTATTAATTGGAGAACACGATGAAAGGTTCACTGACTTTGAGAATCATGACATTACACTCAAATTAGCATTTCAGCTTCACCTAGTTGATGTCACCAAGGCACCTAAAGAACTACAGATGGAATTAATTGAACTCTCAGTAGATTACATTTTAAAGTCATTGATGCTAAGAAAGAGCCAACTGAAATCCAGAAAAATGCAGAATACTCATACCTACAGCAACATGCTCAAGAAGTGCTTTCTTGATTTTCAACCACTTATTTATTGCTGAGAATCTACATTCTCCTACCTAACCCAAATCAAGATGCCCTTAAGGTCACAAATGACTGATACAAGTACCTAGAGGATCAACTGAAACTGCAGACCTCCATGCTGCAACCAAAAATTCACATGCTTTCCAACAAAAAGCAGACACAACAGAGTCATTAAAAGGTTAACTTTAAAATTAAGAAATAATTTTCATTTTTTTTGAAATTATTAAATACATATTGTTAGATTTTTACAAAATAATGTACATTTTTAAGTATATCTAATTCGAGTTTCTTGAATGCAGTCTTATTTGATTATAGCTGAATTAATGTGGCCTTCCAATATGAAAAGGTTCCCCACCTTTGATTTAGAGGATATGTGTGGCTCCAAGACTGATTCCTCAACCACCATCCTAAAGTAACACACAGAGTTTAAGCAGACACCATCTTGGAGAGGAGGAGCTAATCCCTCCATATGGATGCGGGATCCCATATATAGACTTCTTGGGAACTTATGCTATTAAGTATCTTCTCTCTCTCGTATCTTTTTATTTCAGATGCAATTTAAAAAAAAATATTTTTAGTCTAGTTGGTTGAATCCACAGATGCAGAACCCATGGATACAGAGAATCAACTATATTTATTTGATAAATATACTGAAAACATTTAAAACAACCACTTTTCAAGAGATATCCAAAAAAATCCCCATAGAAAAACAAACTTTCTTAAATAAATCCATTCTAATTTCATTAGTCTAACTGCTCTTATAGTCTTTTTTCTTTTTTAAACTTTATTATTATTTTTTATTATTTTTTTTTTCCTACAAGCTTGGGAAGAATGCTCTTATAGTTTTTGTCCCAATGATTGTGAGAGTTATTATGCCGGAAAATAGTACAAGGAACATAGCAAAAGTTCTCTATTCTAGACCCTTTTAGCTCCTTGATGAGACAACCTTGCTTCTAATAGTACAACTTCATTTCCAAAAAACAAACTTCCCAAATGGCAATTTTGATTGGCAGTTTACATGTTTAACTTACCTCATCATATGATTTATAAAGGCTTTGTTACAATTAGTGTTGTACTTGCAAAAATTACAGTGGATATATATAGAAAAGTGGCTTGCAAAATCTTTTATTTTGGAATGACACTCAATGCACTTGTGAATTCCCCGACGACACCTTATGGAGACAGAAAAAAAAATGATAAATATATACTGTAAAACCAAAGTAATACGGGACAGCCTCATTAACATTTTATTAATTGAAGCCAAGATGTTTAAATTAATATCTTTAAATACAGACTTATAATTTGAAAATTGGCTTTGAAACAATAAGCTAGAATAAGTGTAAAAATTTAACACCAGGCTGGGTGTGGTAGCTCATGCCTATAATTCTAGCACTTGGGAGGCTGATGAGGAAGGATCACTTGAGGCCAGGAGTTCAAGACTAGCCTGAGCAAGAGCAAGACCCTGTCTCTACAAAAAATAGAAAACATAGCCAGGCATGGGGGTGCATGCCTATTGTCCAGGCTACTTGGGAGGCTGAGGCAGGAGGATTGCTTGAACCCATGAGTGTGGGGTTACAGTGAGTTATGATGACGACACTGCACTCTAGCCCGGAGACAGAGCAAGACCCTGTCTCCAAAAAAAAAAATAAATAAAAAATAACACTAGTTAATGTTTCCTTGGAATAAAAAGGATCAAATTAACCAAATCAAGTATCATAAGATAAAAGCATAAAAAATAAGATTAGTGTAAAAGATGAAAATTATAAAATAAACACAGTAATTCAAGTTCTGCTCAGAAGTTTTAAAAAGAACCTTTTTATCGCTTGATCTTTATTTTAGATAAGTGATTATAATGTAAATGTGATATGATAAATTATATTATAATAAAGTTTTAATATTTAAGATTAAATTAGTATTGTATATCAGGAATAAAAGAGATTACCTTAAGTTCTTCAAAGCTATGCTGATTTTATTTTTTCTGTTGCGTTGTCTCTTTTGCTTGGAAGAGGGTTTTGGTTTGCATTTAGAGATACCTCCACTTGGCTTTCTTGTACGAGGTTTATTTGCAGTGGATGCAGTTGCATGAGACTTACTTGTCTTAGATTTACTTGCACTAGATTTTGTAGGATTTTTAGCAGTTGTATTTTTAGACTTTGGAGGTGAGACCTGAAGAGAAGAAGTGCTTGGAGTACAACTGGAAGGTGTAGTTGATGGTTTTGATTGGTGAGGTCCAAGTGAAGCTCGGATAGTAACCTATAAAAACAAAGGCAATATATATTTTTAGAAAATTAATTATCACATTGGTATTAAAACACATCACTATAAGTCCTCACAATTATAGTCAATTGGCTTTTTTTTTTTTAGATAGAGTCTCACTCTGTTTCCCTCACTAGATCACTGTGGTATCATCATAGCTCACTGCAACCTCAAACTCCTGGGCTCAAGTGATCCTCCTGCCTCAGCATCCAGAGTAGCTGGGACTATAGGCATGAGCCACCACACCCAGCTAATTTTTTCTATTTTTACTAGAGACGGGGTCTCACTCTTGCTCAGGCTGGTCTTCCACTCCTGACCTCAAGTGATCCTCCAACCCTGGCCTCCCACAGTACTAGGATTATAGGCATGAGGCACTGTGCTGGCCAGTGAATTGGTTTTTCACAAGGGTACCAAAACAATTCCAATGGGGGAGTGAATCACTTAACAAACGGTGCTAGAACAACTGATACTCACATGCAAAAGAATGAATTTGGACCCCTTCCTGACTCACAGTATATCAAAGACCAAATTTTAAGAGCTAAAACTATAAAATCCTTAGAAGAAAAATACAGTAGTAAATCCTTGTGGCCATGGGTCAGGCAATGGTTTCTTAAACATGATACCAAAAGCACAAGCAACCAAAGGAAAAAAATAGATGAATGTGCATTTCTTCTAAGATGATATACAAATGGCCGATTAGCACATGAAAAGATGCTAAACATCATTAGTCATCAGGGAAATGCAAATTAAATCTCCACTGAGATATTCCTTCACACCAACTAGAATGGCTATAATAAAAAAAATGGATAATAACAAGTATTGGCAAAGATGTAGAGAAACGAGACCACTCATACATTGCTGGTGGGGATGTACAATGGTATAGTCACTTTGGAAATCAGTTTGGAAGTTTCTCAAAATATTAAAGAGTTACCACATGATCCAGTAATCCCACTCTAACAGAAATGAAAATATATGTCCACATAAAAACTTGTACATGAATTTTTATAGCAGTATTATTTATAACAGCCCAAAAGAGAAAACAATCCAAATGCCCACCAATTGATGAATGAATAAATATGGAATATCCACACAGTGGTGTATTATTCAGACACAAAAATAAATGAAGTACAGAAACATGCTAAAATATGGATGAACCTAAGAAACATTATGCTAAGTGAAAGAAACCAGTTCCTAAAGATCACATATTGTATGATTCCATTTATAAGAAATGTCCAGAATAGGAAAATCCATAGAGACTAAAAGTAGATTGAAGTTTTGCACAGGGGCCGGGCTCGGTGGCTCACACCTGTAATCCTAGCCCTCTGGGAGGCTGAGGCGGGAGGATCACTCAAGGTCAGGAGTTCGAAACCAGCCTGAGCAAGAGCGAGACTCTGTCTTTACTAAAAATAGAAAGAAATTAATTGGCCAACTAAAAATATATAGAAAAAATTAGCCAGGCATGGTGGCGCATGCCTGTAGTCCCAGCGACTTGGGAGGCTGAGGCAGAAGGATTGCTTGAGCCCAGGGGTTTGAGGTTGCTGTGAACTAGGCTGATGCCATGGCACTTTAGTCTGGACAACAGAGTGAGACTCTGTCTCAAAAAAAAATAAAAATAAAAAAAATAAAAGACGTTTGCACAGGGCTGGTGGAGAAGAAATAGGGAGTGAATGCTAATGGGTATGGGGTTTCTCTTGGGAGTGACAAAAATGTTCTGAAATTGTTGTAATATTTGTCCAACTCTTCAAATATGCTAAAAAGCACTGAATTACACACTTTAAATGGCTGAATTGTGTGGTATATGAATTATATCTCAATAAAGCTGTTACCAAAAAAAAATCACTGCAATAAAAAAAGTCAAACATCATTTAAAAAGCAGCACAGATATGTCTCCCATTTATTCTAAATGGTCATACCAATTAAATTAAATTTACCTTGATATTTGTTTATGGTTATAGTTTTACATTGATGGTAGTAACATGGATATTAAAGAATAATTAGGAGTTAGAGAAAATTATATGAATATCAAAACAGCACATTCCCTGGCTATTTTAATGCTTTGACAGAACTAAAAGGCTTTCATAAATATAGAGGTCAAATTTAAATCTCAAAGCCTTAAGTAGTAACTCTGGAAAGGTCTGTATGACCTTTGTACTTTTTGGACTACAAAACAGATGTCCAGTATATGTGACGTTCTCTTTCTGGGGGCACACTGGACAGAATTTCTGCTTCTAAAGGTTATGGTGGAGGTTAGTTACATCAATTCCTCATACAGCATGGAGATTGTAATAATGCTCAGAATTTCCTTAACTGGAACTAATATAAAATTTGTCATTTAGTATTTAGGAAAAAATGTTAGATTATATCCATTGGTTAATAATGGAAAACACAGTCACCTACTAACATTCTCTTTAATCATTTGACTATACTTCCTCCATATGCTTGAGAAGCAAACTCTATAAAGTCCCATAAAATACATGTGGTTTAGTATCATATAAAAAGCACTATAGTAGGAGTCAAAAGACCTGAGGTTAAATCTCAGTAAAATCTCAGTATTACCTCTTCCTAGCCATGTCAACTTAAGTAAACAATTTATCCTCTCTAAGCCTCTTCATCTGTAATTTGGGAATAATATCTGCCTTGCCTATCTCATCTGATCACTACATAAATAACAGAATGTATGAAAAAGCACACTGAAAGCTTAATTCTAAAGTGCTATAGGACATTTTGTGTCATTTAGTAATAATATTCTCGTTATTATTGCTATATTATTAATAAGGGGAGATACGAGAGAGGACTGCACTGCTTACGTTAGTATTTTGCATGTCTAAGCCCAAAATGGAATGAATGAATTATAGGGAGGGACACTGAATGTTTACAACATTGCTTTACATTATTTCAGTTAATTCAAATAGCAGAAATACTCACACTGAAAGGTATGCACCCAAAGCCAAATATAAACGCTTGGGGATTATTTTACTTTGGGTTATACATCCCTCCATTGGAGCAAACATTCATGAGCTAACTTCATATAAAGAAGTCAGAGAAAACATATGCATATAAGCAAACAGGGAAAGAGAAATTTGCAGTAATATGTGTGCTTGCTCACTGAAAGCAGCAATGCTATCCAGAAACAGAACTTGCTTTTTGACAGTAGATTCAGTGATACTAACTTCAACAAACCTATGACATTCAAGGCACTTTAAGATAGATGCTGTGGACACAACATAAGTTAAACATGATTCCTGATCTCAAACACCTTATAGTCTAGCAGCTGAAACAAACATATACATTGACAACTGGAATAGCTCAAAAACAGCCCACAGAACATTGAAACAACCTGCTGACTTAGTCTACGGTTAATTTAGTTGTACTAGAAATACTATTCCAACAAAGTACATGTCAATCAACTAAAAAACCAATGATTAGAAGTTATTCTTTCCAAGAATGAGAATGATAAAACCTATGAAGTTGGTTCTAAGTAATTAAAAAAAAAAAAATAGAGGCTGGGAGCAGTGGCTCATGCAAGGTCAGGAGTTCAAAACCAGCCTGAGCAAGAGCAAGAGCAAGACCCCGTCCCTACTAAAAATAGAAAGAAATTAATTGGACAACTAAGAAAAAAATATATATATAAAAATTTAGCCAGGCATGGTGGCACATACCTGTAGTCCCAGCTACTTGGAAGGCTGAGGCAGGAGGATTGCTTGAGCCCAGGAGTTTGAGGTTGCTGTGTGCTAAGCTGACGCCATGGCACTCTAGCCCAGGCAACAAAGTGAGACTTTGTCTCAAAAAATAATAATAATAATAAATAGAAAAAAAAGAATGCTAAAACCCCAAAGTAAGGTCTTAATAACAACCATAAGTGAATTTAAATATTATATTCAATTGATAAAACTAGGCAGAAATTTGTTTCTATCATCACACAAAATATTAAAATACAACACATTAAAACTCACTTTTGTTCCTGGAGGCAATCCTTCTAGTTCTTTAGGCTTTATAAATGTACGATGCTGTGTCTTATGATCCATTTTCTCCTTGCAGGTCAAAAATTGTAGTCTGCATTTTGTACAACGATGAATTCCTTTTTTCTGTTTACAGGAAATATTAAAAATAGTAACTTCTACCACCTCAAATTCTGGGAACTGAAATTACTCTTAATTCTAATATCCAAATAATTTAAAAACCACTATTTTACCATCTTCCAGCATAGATAATACCAAAGTATTATTTCATTTTTTAAAAGCACTACTTGTATTAGTATTTGATGATGATACAGTATGTTTCTGTATAACATGATGTTCAACCAAAGAAATAGTGATTTGTTCCAAGGGTAGAAAAAAATTTATCTGTGTTGAACTTTTTGACAAGCATTCTATATTGTTTGAATGATCTAAGGGATTTTCAACGGTAATTATGACTATCTATAATTTCTGCTTTTAGACCTAATATCAATATGGAATATGAATCTGTGGTAAAAGCTTGGGCTGTAAGTCCATTTTTGGCTCTGCCATTTATTAAGAAATATGTCACTGGGCAAGTTACTCTCTATAAAGCTTTGTTTCTTTATTTATAAAATGGAAACAATCATTACCTGCTTCATAGGGTGACTATGAGGATTAAATAAGAGAGTGCATGTAAAAGCACCAGTAATTGTCAAATGGAAAGTGATTAGTATATGGTAACTACTTACTGTTATTATTAAAGAGCTGATAAGGATATTTGACACATCTGAACTCTTTCATCCTTCCTGAAAAGTTGCACAAACTGATTGCTAACTCTAAAATCACTCAACACATCTTATATTACTTTTAGGAAAAAGTTACAACCAAAGTCTTTAAAAAGAACAAAATGAACCATAGAGTCAACATTTTTATTATATAAATTTGCACTAATAATGTCATTGCAATTACAAGCGTATAATCCTGCTTAGCTCTGGTTTTTGAGTCTTCTGTGAATAATTATGCATACTGCAAATATCTTAAGGGAAGCCTGATGATCCTTCTTATCAATGGAATCCTTTCACTGCTGACTCCCTATATCTGAGGTACTTCAACCTTAAAAAAATTGAGCACCTCAAATGAACTCAATGTTTATGTCCCCTCCAATTCATATGTTGAAATCCTAATCTTCAATGTGATAGTATTGGGAAGTGGAGCCTTTGGAAAATAATTAGATAATGGAAGTAGGCCCTCATAAATAGGGTCAGTGTCCTTATAAAAGGGACCCCAGAGAGCTCTCTTGCCCCTTCCACCATGTGAGGACACAGTGAGAAGACGGCCATCTATGAACCAGGAAGGAGGCCCTTATCACATTGAATCTACTGGTGCCTTGACTTTGGACTTTACAGCCTCTAGAACTATGAGGAACAAGTGTTTTTTTTTTTTTTTTTTTTTTTTTTTGAGACAGAATCTCGCTTTGTTGCCCAGGCTAGCTCACAGCAACCTCAAACTCCTGGGCTCAAGCAATACTTCTGCCTCAGCCACCCGAGTAGCTGGGACTACAGGCATGCGCCACCATGCCGGGCTAATTTTTTCTATATATATTAGTCGGCCAATTAATTTCTTTCTATTTATGGTAGAGAAGGGGTTTCGCTCTTGCTCAGGCTAGTCTTGAACTCCTGACCTTGAGCAATCCGCCCGCCTCGGCCTCCCAGAGTGCTAGAATTGTAGGCGTGAGCCACTTCACCTGGCCAAGTGTTTGTTGTTTAAGCCACCCATTCTATGGTAATATGTTATAGCAGCCCAAATAGACTAAGACAGTACTTGTGGGCCCTAAGACTACTCCCAGATTTGATGATTGAGTAGAAAGACTTAAAGGACTCAGATGTTGTTATACTAACAGCTATGGTTTATTACAGCTAAAGGTAACAGAAAAGGATTAATAAAGGAAAAAGGTGTATTGGGTAGATTCTAGAGGATACCAGGCACCAGCTTCCAAGAGCTCTCTCTCAATGGAGTTGCACAGGACACACTTAATCAATCCTTCAGCAACTAACTGTAGCAGTATGTGTAAAGTGTCTGACAGGGAAGCTCTCTTGAGTCTAACAGCCCAGGTCTATTATAGGGTTAAGTCACCAAATCTTCATACCCCCAGAAGAAAAGCAGAAGATGGTCACTCTAATCATATTTTTTTCACAAATTATATGGACAAGCTTGTATAATAAGGCTCAAGGTTCCAGGTATGTAACATATTCTTATTAGTAACACAGGGAACATTTTAAGAGCTTTATCTGTAGGAGTTAACCAAGGACCAGTTATATAAGCAGGCCCTTCTGAAACTGTACAATATTTGAGCAACCCAGACCTGCTGGGATAACTCTTTCCAATATACATGTAAGTTAACACATACAACTTAGGGTATGAAGAGTGACTACAGATCAGATGAATCACTTATGGACACAGCTCACATAGTGGGCCCACTCATGTCTTTCTTGCTTTTCTAAGCATATATCACTTCCTCCACATTTATATCTATATCACTCTGGAGCTTAGCAAAGCATAGGAGAAATAATTATGTTAAAATTCTCATAATTAAATAGTCAGACCTACTGGTTTATATTTCATTCTTCTTTTCAAAATCAAAGACCAAAAAATGAAATATAGAGCATGAAGAACAGTGCTTCCCAAACTCTATTGCTCAAGAAGTATTAATAGGTATTGTGCAAATAAAGAGTTCAATGGTTAAATAAGTTTGGGGAACATTATATGTCCCTTGCTCAGAGATTTACAGTATCTGTTAGCATATTAAAGGATCTGAAAAATCCTGTTTTAAAAAATAAATAAAAACAACCTTGTTAATTTTGTAAACCCAGCCATTTACCAAATTGCTTTTACCAGGAACAATTTTAGAGGGGAATATATACGACTGAATACTGTTGGGGAAACCCTAGACCAGAAAGACTTTGCCAAAGGTTCTTAAGGGTGAGGTGGCCTATCAGGATAAAAAAACAAATATGTTGGTACCATCTCAAGTCATAACAGAGGTGATCCTAAATGTACTTGGGAATTCTACTTTTATGATTTTTTCCAATTAATATGAATAAATTGGCCATGACAGTGCAATCAATAATAAATGTAATGAGCTGATCAGTGAGGAGGCAAAACTTGGTTACATGATCAGATTGAGTAAATCCACTGACTTCTGATTTTGGCAAAGGCACTGTTTATGTTTCAAACACTCAAGAATAGCCTATTTCATTAAAGTTTTCCAACCCAAAGGACAGTCTAATTGTTTCAGGAAAAGAACCAGTAAGCAAAAATCAGAATTCAAGGGAAAGGTGCAAGCACTAATACTGGTATCCCAGAAATTATATAGCAGAAGTAGAAAAAGTCATTCAGGAAACAAGTTACAATCTAAATATAGTTCTCTGGCATAGCTCACATATCTGATAATAAGTGTCCTTGCTGTTTCCTTTGTTACTTGGTACAAAAGCCCATTCTGGGTCATTGATGACAACCACATGTCTCATAACAAAAAGTGGGCTAGGAAGTAGAAATAACATTTGAAGAGAAACAGTAAAACAGAAGGTTTTCAGTCCTCAATCTTATCTTCCTCAGTTCAAATTTACTATTTTCTCTGCTCTTGATAAGCACCTTCAAAAGCACTCCCATTCCCACCATTCTTTTTTTTTTTTTTTTTTTTTTTGAGACAGAGTCTCACTTTGTTGTCCAGGCTAGAGTGAGTGCCGTGGCGTCAGCCTAGCTCACAGCAACCTCAAACTCCTGGGCTCGAGTGATCCTTCTGCCTCAGCCTCCCGAGTAGCTGGGACTACAGGCATGCGCCACTATGCCCGGCTAATTTTTTTTTTTATATATATATCAGTTGGCCAATTAATTTCTTTCTGTTTATAGTAGAGACGGGGTCTCGCTCTTGCTCAGGCTGGTTTTGAACTCCTGACCTTGAGCAATCCGCCCGCCTCGGCCTCCCAAGAGCTAGGATTACAGGTGTGAGCCACAGCGCCCGGCCTCCCACCATTCTTAAACCCTGAAATATCTAACCTAAATGTTCCACTCATCTTCCTTTTTTTCTCTCCATCCTAGGGTTACTATTTATAGCTATTTTTCAGAACTTTTACTCCTTATGAGCCTCAATGTCACCAGAAAGCAGGCAAGGAAGAGAAGTGGAAGTTTCACAAGCAATTCAAAATAAATTGTAAATTGTGTCACTCAGAACAACTTTGTTTTCTGTCCAGAACAAATCTAAGATATAGATCTGTTTCTTTTCACTAGGACAACATGAATAATTGAGAACTGCTTAATCTCACCTGATGCTTCATATAATGATTCATGTAGGGGGTTGCCATTCTACTAACTTTGAGGCAAAATGGACATAGCAAGTTCTTAGTGTTTTCATGGGATGCTCTAAAATGAGCTTCTACATCAGAAAATGTTGATGATCTAAACTGGCAAACCTAGAAATATAAAGAAGGTTTAGTTTAAATTGAAATGTTATAATTTATATGCAATTACATCAAAGTAGCAATAACAGGTCATTTGTTTAGAAGAACATTATGTACTACTAGTACATAATGTACTAGAACTAGAACATTATGTACTACTAGTACAGCTCTGCTATCTATACAACCAAGAATCCTATTACTGCAAGTAATAAAGTTAATCTTTGAAACAGAAATGTTATCTTTCAAAGTTTATATATATATTCCCAAATGTAGCTAGACTCCATTCTTCTTTTCAGATCTACCACTACCTATCTTTTTCTTTTTCTTTTTTTTTTTTTGAGACACAGTCTTGCTCTGTTGCCCTGGTTAGAATGCCATGGCATCAGCCTAGCTCACAGCAACCTCAAACTCCTGGGCTCAAGCAATCCTCCTGCCTCAGCCTCCCAAGTAGCTGGGACTACAGGCATGAGCCACCATGCCCAGCTAATTTTTTCTATATATTTTTAGTTGGCCAATTAATTTCTATTTTTAGTAGAGACGGAGTCTCACTCTTGCTCAGGCTGGTTTCGAACTCCTGACCTTGAGTGACCCTCCCGCCTTGGCCTCCCAGAGTGCTAGGATTATAGGCGTGAGTCACCGTGCCCAGCCATACCACTACTTATCTTGATGTGAATTTTTAAACTGATATCTCCTGTTCTATAAAGTTTTTCCTGCTATATAAAACAGAGTATTCTCTTCTTTAGATTTTAAATAGCATCCAGGCTATGCTATTGGCAATTTATCTTTATCTTGCTTTCTTCTTATTACTGGAAGCCACTCCAAATTATGGAAAAACACTAATCTCAAAGTATTTGATTGGGTTCTCTATAACTAAAAGCATTTCCTATTTCCCTGGTGTGTCTGTATTCTTGTCTTTCTGCCATATGATTGTCTTTCTTCAGCAGAGCATTTACCTGTTTAGTGCAGGGGTCAGTAAACTATGGCCTGCAGGCAAAACCTAGTCTACCCATGAGTTAAACCAAAGAAGTTTCCACTAATGAAGAGGGTCTTTAATTTTAACATAGTGACTAATTTTATTTAAATGGTTAATAAAAATCAAAAGAACAAAACTATTTCGTAGCATGCGAAAACTAAACAAACATCTAAGTACACAATAAAATGCGTATGTACCTGGCAAATATATGGCATTTCACCGGGTTTATGAGTGTCCTTCATATGTTGTAAAAGAATATGCTCTGTTTCAAATGATAATTCACAGATTTTGCAAATAGCTGAAAGTGAAAAACAAACATATTATACCATTTTGAGTATGTATATAAAAAGACTCATTTTGTGCATCCAAAATAAGTAATGATAGCAATAGTAGTAGTGATGGTAGTTCTAACAATTCTATAGCTGTGAACTCTGTAATGCTATACTAAGGACATTACTGATATTAGCTTATTTAATTCTCATAACACCATTGAGGAAGGTGCTGCTATTTTTATCCCCATTTTTCAGACGAGGAACTGGAAGCACAGAAAAATTAAGTAAACTGCTTGAGATCTTGCATCTGTATTAAGAGGCAGAGCTGGGATCTGTATCCAAGCTCTTCACCTCCAGAGTCTGTGAATTTTAACTACCACTGTAGTTACTTTTTATATTTAAAAATACATCAAAGCCCTTGATTTCAAATTTGAAAACCATGGAGTCTAATGTATGTGTTCTAATTTAGTCCCCTATACACAACGCAGGAGTTATGCCAAGGAAGTTTCCACTAATGAATTATTTACAAGAGGGACTACAATTTTAGCAACAATTTTTTTATTTTCTTTTTCTTTTAGAGATAGGATTTTGCTATGTTGCCCAGGCTGGAGTGCTATAGCTATTCACAGGCATGATCACAGTGCACCACAGTCCCGAACTCCTGGGCTCAAGCAATCTTCCTGCCTGCTACAGCCATGTGCCATTGTGCTTGGCTTTAGTAACAAATTGTATTTAAGTTTATAAAAGTTGTAACTTATTTTTCAATTTTGCTCTTAAATTACGAAGTCTATTTCTTATTCTTATTTTTCTGTCAGAATGTTTTAGGTTTCCCCACAGTTCAGATGATCAAAAGCAATTAATACACAGGACTTCAATGAAACTGTCACTTACTAGAAAACTCATGGGGCGTGTGTGTACTCTCGATGTGGCACTGCAACTGGAAGGGTGTGGGATACTGCCTGTAGCAGTGCTGGCAGGTGGTGTGGTTTTCCCAGCTCTCAGTGTTCTGCTTCTCAAGTTCCAAGTGGTGTTTCATATGGTTCATAAACCTATAAATGATGGTCAACAGGTGCAAAAAGTCAGATTTATAACCAAAGAAAAATCTCACAAATAAGTATCTGAACCTAAATTTTAAAAATGTAGTTGTATGACTCAAGCCCTCTAGAAAAGTGTGCACTTTAAATAAATAATTTAAGTAGCTTAGTAAACACTTATATGAATGAAATTTTTGCTTTTAAAATTATTCATTAATGTAGTTAGTATGAAATATCACTAATTGGCTATATCTCTTCATCATTATTTGAGATTTAAAAATATTCTTTTGGCAAAGAAAAATATTGGGCTTCTTTTCTATACATGAAACACTATTTACATTTTAAAATATAATACTTAAAGGAAGGGAATCCTACCACCAAAAGCAGCTACAGTCATAAGAGAAATCTTTTGAAGGCCTTGAAGATACACAACAGGTTTCAAGCTGCTTAAAAGATAAATTATTGGTATTTTTATTTGCATCTTGGTTTCCAAATGCATGCAATAGCGATTTTAATGCCTATAATTACAAGAACCTTTTATTTTATTTAATGATACTGGCTTACCGTTAGTACAAACTGTTCATTTTTCCTGCAGACTGTGCCCTTTGTAGCACCGTCCATTTTTCAGTTTTACATTCTGCTATTTCATCTTCTCTAAAAGGCTTCTTATGAGAAGGAACTATGATGTTCAATAGCAGAGAGTACAATATAAATGGGCATAACTATTTCAAAGAGCTTGCTAAAGCTTTTTTCTGAATTTCAAAGTAAAGTTATTCAATCAAAACAGCAATTTTAAGACAGGGTCAACTATTTATAATTATTCACTATGAATCCCTAAAGAAAATAATTTTAAAATAAAGTATTGATGTCATCTACCTAGATAGCAATCATTATGAAGGTTTTGACATCTCTCTTTTTCACACCTCTAAAACACTCTTTAGAGCTGGTTATGGTATACCTTGAAATATCTTCTTTCCTCCTTTGGTTTTAGTAAATGTCTGTACTTTACTTGGAAAAAGTATCCAAAAAAAATCACATGGTTCTATGGATAGTTACATGGTAAAGCAAGTATAGCAAATGTTAATGGTAGAATTGAGGTGATAGACAGATGTTCACTGTAAAAACTTTTCAACTTTGCTGAATATTTGAAAATTTTTATAATAAAATGTTGGAACAGTAACCTCACCTGATATAAACATCAGGTTACTTAAGCAATGAAAATACCAATCACTATGTCTTGTTACTTTGTTTTGTTACTATCTCACTTAAAATGATAGATACGTAACATGCATGTAAGTCAAATATTGCAAAGCACAAGTTTCCAGAATTTAAAGCATACAATAATAAAATCTTTAAAATTCCACTGGGAGTTAAATCTGTATTTTAAAATGTGTTAAATTATAAAATGAAAGTACACGTTTCATAGAACTGGTACTTCTCTAAAGAAGATCACCGAAAAAAGATCACTTTCTCTACAAGGTAAATGGGCTAAAAATTATAAATATGAATTGAAAAACTTGAGCTTTAAATAAGACTAGTATGGAGGTCACACTGGATAAGGTGGTGGTTCTTGTGATATGAAGAAAAGATTTAAAGACAGTTAGAAAATAAAAATATCTCACAAAACTCCTAGTTCAATGATAAATATAGGGGAAAGAAGTAATTTTCCCTAAGTTAAAATACGTTTTATCCTTACATTAGCTATCTGAAAAAAATATAACTAGGTGTATTCAGAAGTCAAATTTCTAAAATACAAGAAAGTACAAAAGCTTTTCAACATGATAACCTGCCTGTGTTCTTAGCAGAAAGTGTTAAAATTGCTTACCCAGGATGGCACAGAAAAATAAAGACTCGATATTCCTATCTGTAGTATCTTAATTTTTAAGCAAAAATTAAAATAAGTACTTACATACCTAATATTATTTTTAAGAACTTTCAAGCAACTGAAGCATTTAAAAGTTGTGTAAGTCTTCTGTTCTTCCTCGGCGGCTCCTTCATGTCTTCCATAATAAAAGTCACTAACTAACATGATCAATTTTCCTTTCTCTGAACTAGTCTTATTTTTGTTTTCGGCACTTGAAAGTTCTGCTTTAATAATTCCTAAAAAGTTATTTACCATATCTGGACAACAACGCTGAAAGAGAAAAAAATACAAGCCTTGAAAATTAAATACCAAAAAATGATTGTGTTTACAACTAGGGCCAAATGATATAAAACTATGCTTGGCAGTATATCTGAAAAGATACCAAAATGTTGGCTTCTTTCTTTATATATTCTAAAAAATTCAAATAATAGACATATACTATCTTAATAATGAAATAACTTCAAAAACAAAGTGAAAACTGTAGGATCAGGGATGTTTATATGCCTAACACCCTTTTCCTTGCAATTTTTCTTTTCAGGTGCAAAAATTTAATAATTCATTTCTTAGCCAAAAATAATACATTTCACATCTGTGTCAAGATATATCTTAAAAAGTAGTTTTATATGCCATTATGTATAAGCTTAATTATCAAATAACACAGTAGCATTTCAGTAAAGCCTGGTTGGCACTAGACTTTTTTATTTATTTATTTATTTATTTTAAAGTTTTAATTATTTTTTTTTATTTTGGCATATTATGGGGGTACAGATTTTAAGGTTTCAATAAATGCCCATTTCCCCCCTGGCACTAGACTTTGAGCACAGTTAACTTGCCATTCTCCAGACTCAATGTGCTAGAAAATGTGTGGGACACAAAGAAAGAAGTCTCAGTTACATCTTGAAATCCTCAGCACATTCTATCTAGAATGCTCAAACATCTAAAGGAGACTGGACATGGTGGCTCATGCCTGTAACCCCAGCACTTTGGGAGGATGAGGTGGGAGGATCACTTGAGGCTAGGAGTTTGAAGACCAGCCTAGGCAACATAGTGAGACCTAACCTCTACATTAAAAAAAAAAGCCAGGTGTGGTAGCATTCACCTAAAGTCCTAGGTACTCGGGAGGTGGAGGCAGGAGGATTGCTTGAGCCTAGGAGTTTGAGGCTACAGTGAGTTATGATCACACCACTGTACTCACTCTAGCCTGGGTAACAGAGTGAGATCCTGTGTCTTAAAAAACAAACATCCCCTCCCAAAAAGAAACATCTGAAGGGAAATCCACCTCATATAAACTGATCCTAATGTGTAAAACTTTCACACAAAAGTCTAATGAGATAAAACTAATTTACTTATTATACATACTGTTTAGTTGTAGGATTTCTCTAAAAGAACTTTCTAAGAATAACTAGAAAGGAAAAAATAGAATGGAGAAAATATATGCAAACCATGTATCTGATAACATATAAGAAACTCCTACAACTCAATAGCAAAAAACCCAAATAAACCAATTTAAAAATGGGCACAGGAATTGAATAGACTGTCCTCAAAGGAAGACACACAAACAGCCAACAGGTATGTGAAAAGGTGCTCAACATCACTAATCATTAGGGGAATACAAACCAAAACCACAATGAGATAGCACCTCACACCTGTTAGGATGACTATATCAAAAAGACAAAAGATAAGTGTTGGTGAGGACGTAGAGAAAAAGGAACCCTTTTACACTGTTGATGGGAATGTACACTGGTGTAGCCACCATGGAAAATGTATGGAGATTCCTCAAAAAATTAAAAGAACATATAGTCCAGCAATCCTACTTCTGGATATATAGCCAAAGGTATTGAAATCAGGACCTCAAAGAGAAATCTACACTCCCATCTTCACTGAAGCATTATTCACATTAGCCAAGACATGGAAGGAACCTAAATGTTTATCCATGCGTGAATGGATAAATGTGGCATATATATGTATAATGGAATATTATTTACCCTTAAAACAGAAGGAAATCCTGCCATTTGTACCAACATAGATGGATTTGGAAGACATTATGCTAAGAAAAATAAGCCAGTCACAGAAGGACAAATATTACATAATCCCTATTATATGAGGAATCTAAAATAGTCAAACTCATAGCTGCAGAGAGTAGAATTGAGATTGCCAGGGGCTGGGGGTGGGGTGGGGAAAGAGGGAGGTATTAGTCAAAGAGTACAAAGGTTCAGGTAGTCAAGATGAATAAGCCCTAGAGATCTCCTGTACAGCATAGTGCCTATATAGTTAACAATACTGTATTGCATACTTAAAAATTTGCTAAGAGGGTAGATTTTCTGTTAAGTGTTCATATCAACATAAAAAGAGGGCAAGAGGAAACTTTTGGAGGTAATGAATATGCTTGTGGCACAGATAGTGATGGTTTCACAGATGTATACTTATCTCTAAACTCATATAGCTATATACATGAAATATGTACAGCTTTTTGTCTGTCAGGCATACCTCAATAAAGTGGTTTTTTTTAAAGACAAGACTACATAACAAAACAAGTTAGGGTGGAAAATAAAAAGACTTTCCTAAAAATCCTAATGACACACACAAAGCAACCACAACATGAAATACTTTAACAATAACCAAAGAGATTTAGAAGGGTTGAAAATAAAATGATAAGCAAAGAATATAACAGGAATATGGAAACAATAAGAAAGCAAGGATTGTGGGTCTGATATTAAACAAAGCATTAAACAATAAAACAAAAAAGGATACTATAAAATACTAAAGGGTGCTTACACAATGGAGTTATAACAGATAGATCCATCTATATCCTAAAGAGTAACACCACGAAACAAAGTTGGAATATATAAAAAAAAAACAGTACTCCCATCTAACCACAACGAGTAAGATGTGCAACGTTTGGGGGATGGACATGCTTGAAGCTCTTACTCGAGGGGGAGGCGGGCATGGGCAATATAAGTAACCTTAATACTTGTACCCCCATAATACGCTAAAATAAAAAAAATAAATAAAAAACAAACAACAACAAAAAAGCAGTACTAATGTGAGACTTGGATTCATCTTTCTCAAACACAGGGAGGTGAAAATAGTGATAGACCTAATACGGTTTTGCCCCAGAATAAAGAGACATGTATTTGGAATTTTAGAACTACTTTTTAAAAACCCTTTTCTGTAAAATGCTGAATTTCAATAAAAATTTGCCAATCTTTGAAGTAGTGAGCAATATCTTTTCCTAAGTTGCTTCTTTGCTTTGTACCCTTCTCATCCCCTCTTTCCCACATATAATCTTCCCTTTTTCCTTGCCTCCTTCCCTACTTCCTGCCATTAACACTGGGCATACAGGCAGAATACAGACTATCTACACACACACACACACACACACACACACACATCCCCCAGAATACTGTAATATCTACTAAAATATTTTAAGGTGTTACTTAAATCTCATACTTTTCTTAGTACTGTGAAAATTACCTAAAACCTAATTTCCAAGCTTTCTATATTAATATAAAGCTAGAATTCATTTATTACTATATTCTAGATTGAATTAAAACTATCATTTCATATGAAATGCTCCATTATTAGGAATTTATTTCTGAGTGTTGAAAATTAAAATGTAAAATTAAGATTTTTATTGAGTAATGTGACATGCATATGTCACTATGGACAAAAAAATAAGGTGAACAAAAGGAATTTTTAAGTTACATAAAATATCAAGCACGTAATAAAATGCCTGCTTTACAAGAAATTTGAATAGAATAAATTTAGTCAATAACATACTTTAATATATTCTTTTCATTTAAAATTAAAATGCAATATGCCTATACTGTAATGTATATGAACTTAACTTTAAAAAGTTTTTATTGATACATAATATTTATACATATTTATAAAGTACATGTGATATTTTGTTAAATGCACAGAATGTGTAATGATCAAATCAGAGTATTTAGGATATCCATCATCTCGAGTATTATCATTTCTATATGCTGGGAACATTTCAAGTGCTCTCTTCTAGCTATTTTGAAAACTACTATATACACTGTTGTCACTCTACTACTGAACATTAGAACTTATACCCTCTATCTGTACGTTTGTACCCATTAACCAACCTTTCTTCATCCTTCCCACCCCTCCATACACACCCTTCCATGCTACTCTCTACTTCTATGACATCAAAATTTTTAGCTCTCACACATGAGTGAGAACATGTGATATTAATATTTGTCCTTCTGTGCCTGGTTTATTTCACTTAACGTGCTGACCTCAGTTTCATCTATAATGATTTCATCTATAATTATAGCATTTAAAAAATTTCATGATTGGGAAAGATTTTTAAATCTTGTATAATCACTGTGAATATCAATTTTTAGTAAGTTATATGAAATATCAACATGAGAAGATTTCCTATCTAAATATCTAGGCAAACTGCATTTACTGTGTATCAATCTTTAATATTTTCAAGGACTTGTAAACATTTTTAAAAATGGAATTTTGAAAAATCTTACCTTCATGTGGTATTTCAAAGGATCCAAAAGGTTGAACTGAACATTGCACTTTGGACAAGCTCTTAGGAAAGGTGCTCCAGTTTTATACTGAGTTGATGAGGTATTTGTACCTAAAATAAATTAAATATTTTTTAGAATTTTTAAAATATTTTTTAAAATTAATTTTAAAGACTCAAATTCATCTTTTTAAAACCTTAAACAACCATTAATAATAGTTTAAAACTCATCGTAATTTCTAGAATTTATGTGGAAGTAATACAACTTCTTTTTTATATGCCAGATTTCATATTTACCTTTTGATAGCAAAGCCTGGGAAGATGTCCCTGAAGGAGAGTTAATTACAGACAGTGAAGCAGAGGGATTTATTTCAGAAACATCTTCACTGGTCTTTGGCTTTTTTGAATTAACACTGTTTACTTTAGAAGTAGAAGGACGTTTTAACACAAATGAAGTTTGATCCATACCTACAAACATTTAAATAATGGGAAAGATAATTTTAAATATTCCAGTATAGAATATTGCTCACACAAAACTACTATTAAAATGACCTTCCATTTAAAATAAAAATATCTTGGAGCTAAATAAAAGGTAATATAATTGAATTAGCATATCATACAAATGGCAATAAAGAATGATGAAAATTTATATGACCAAGGAGTAGAAAGAAATTGCACCATTACTATGAACTACATAAATGTGACTAATTCACAAAATAAACTTTATGTGACAAAATTCTAAAGATGCTTTCAAACAAAGAAAACATAAACAGGTACCATGAAAGAAGTCAGACCAAAAAATTCTGAACAAAATAAAAGAAATAAAAGTACCCTTTGCATTCGCTTGCTTTTTTCTCATTATCCACTCAACATTATCCACACTCGACATCCGAGTGCAAAGGGTTAAAGCACAAAGAATACTCTGAGCTAAGTTCCTATAAATGAATCCATCTTTGATGCTTAAATGCATGAGCTTGGAAAATATTTTTAAAATTTATTCTAAACATTTAGAGAAACCCATTAAAATGCTATAAAAAAACTTAAGGTGTCTAATGGAAAATTCAAGTTAGTTCTTTTTCCACCTACCAACCTAACAGGTGGTTTATATTATCTATTTATTCCTTATGTACGAAGTGGAAACAACTAATCTTGAATGATAATATCTCATTTATTCATATGAAAAGGTTTGGAGTTAGTATACTGGCTTTCAAAGTATGTTCACCTAAGTCTAATGGGTCTATCTTAGGGAATATAATGGGTATTACAGATAAATAAACTCTCCTTTTATTTTTTATTAGACTTTTGCATAAAATTTTGTTTGAGTAAGAATTTCATTGCTAAAAATAGTTCTGAGTTTGAAAAACATCACCTTAAAGGCCAAACAGGATTATACAATTTAGGGCATTCACAAGAGAAATAGTGCTATTTAGGCTCTAACCAGACCCAGCAAAAGTGATTTTTGAAAATAACAAACAATTGAGCTTCAAGTCAGTGACAAGTTCAAAAAATTGAAAATAACACACAATTAACTGTACTTTGCAATAAAGGTTCTAAAACTGCACATCATGTTTTAAAGCTCACAACTGGAGAAGCAGTAGAGTAGATATATGCCAGCAAAATAAGAGTATTATATTAGTGGGCTCCTCTGTCAATTGTTCTTTCTTTGAGATAACATAGAAGTGATTTTTTTCATCCTTAAAACACATGATTACTGACAGCTATACTGTAGGCACTTAAGGCAGATTTTGTGTAATCACTTTAACATTCTTCTGAGATGCTTAGGTTACTTGAACAACCAATGAGTGCTGGTATTCTGGACTAGGCAACTGATTATTTAATATAATGGGATGGATAGTAAAAATAGACTGTTTTAATATATAATTTTTTGAGCATGAGGAAATCTAAGTTGAATAAAATCAAACTGAGCTCAACAGTTTTAAATTCTGACCTTTTAAGTTATTTATTTCTGTTGTGTTTGGCTCATGCCATTTCCTACCCTCAACTTTTCTTACCTGTGCCAATAAAAATCCTATTCTCATTCTTCAAAAATCAAGCTCAAATCAAACCTTCTCTAAGAACTTTCCATGATCATCCTGAACAAGAGTCCATTAAAAATTGAGATATAAAGAGGTTAGTGACTTGACAAAGGTCACAGAAGTCTTTAGAATAGAGGCTTAAACCTATATCTTCCTAATGAGCTATAACCCTATTTACCATTCAGGGCAAAGTTCCACTCTCTACAGTATAAAAACTCAGAGGGAAAGTAAGAGTCACTGTCTTTACCTCTAGAAGTTCAAGAATTCAGACTTTTCCTATGAATAAAGACAATGTGCTTTTAAAATCAGACTTAAAAATTTTAATCTCTCCTTTTATTTTTATTTTGGTTCTTGGCTATTTTATTAATTAAATAAGTGATACCTAGATAGATGAATATCAAACCAAGTATTATCAAAATGGGAAAATATTTCTGGCTACTCATATTGCAACAATTTTTTAGTTTTGGTTTGATAAATGTTATATACTAATTTTTTAGTAAACAATTTAAACATTCAAAAAATTCTTGTGTCCCTCCTTCCATTTAGTGAAATATATCAAATTAGCTAATATCAGTAATTGCTTTGCTTATAGGGAATTTTTCAACTAGATAAAATTCCTTCATTGGCATACTATTTTAGGTTAATTAAGAAATTCATTATGGCAGACATCAAAGAACTGTAATTCTTCAATTTTAATTATTCCTTCAATGGATATTTACTGAGTACTTATTATGTACAAATCACTATTTCTTTAGTTCTGCCATTTTGTGACACTACTCTATAATAATATTTAACTATCATATCTGCATTATTTATTTGGATAGAAAGACACTAGCCTATGAAGAAATCAACTATAACCATGAACCTTTTCTCATAATAATGGCCTTCCAAATAATTAACACTTTTTAAACAGAGTATATAAGGCATCAGGGGACTTACCTGACTCACAGAAATTATATTAAGATTTTTCAGCCCATGGCTGGTTCCAAGTGAGAATGAGCTCAAAGAATACATGCTAGCCAACTTAACAGGACAAAATAAAATGTTCTATTATTAAATAAAATTTTATATAATATCACCCAAGAGAGGCATTCAGGAATGATTAGCTCTATCCCATCTTACAATATGTGAAAAACTTAACATGAAAGTATGGGGCTTCAAAACAGAAACATAATTCCATAAATATAATTCCAAGTATTTGTCTATAATTTTTATGAAGGAATGCTAAACCAAACCTTCTATAAAAACTGCTGGTCGATCTTGGGACAGTGGTATTGTATCCTGGGTCAAGTCAAACAGTAAGACTGAAGAATCATCTGATTCAGCTTGTGATGAATTCTTTGTAAAATCCTGTAAAAAGTTATAATTATTTTGTTTCATAAACTTTTATAAAGGTAAGCTTAACTGTATGTCAATACTATGAAGAACCGTAATGACTCAATTACTACTATGTAAAACACAAAGGTATTATTACTCTCTGCCAAAATTAGCATCTACTGGGTGAGGGGTATACAGGAACTCTGCATTATTTATGTAATTTTTCTGGAAATATAAAACTAGTTTGAAATAAAAAGTTAAAATTAAAAAGTAATGATAATATTATTGGCAAAGTATAGGCTGTATTTTAGAAGATTTCTGCAAGAAAACTTTAGCAGTATCTATCAGCAGGGCTTTAAAAAGTTTATATCCTTTGATCCAATTACTCCAATTATTCTAACTTCTTAGAATACTAAGGAAATGAAAATGTTTAATGTAGAATTTTTTTTTTTTTTTTTTTTTGAGACAGAGTCTCACTTTGTTGCACAGGCTAGAGTGAGTGCCGTGGCGTCAGCCTAGCTCACAGCAACCTCAAACTCCTGGGCTCAAGCAATCCTACTGCCTCAGCCTCCTGAGTAGCTGGGACTACAGGCATGTGCCACCATGCCCGGCTAATTTTTTTCTATGTATATATTAGTTGGCCAATTAATTTATTTGTATTTATAGTAGAGACGGGGTCTCGTTCTTGCTCAGGCTGGTTTCTAACTCCTGACCTCGAGCAATCTGCCCGCCTTGGCCTCCCAGAGTGCTAGGATTACAGGCGTGAGCCACCACGCCTGGCCACCCCGTTGTAATTTCTAAAAATAGCGCTTTAACAGAAGTTCCTCCAAATAAAGGCAACGCTATAAACCCTTTATGAGGTGACATCTCTGGACAATTAAGTACCACAATTTCAGAGAACAGATACATTATTCAACCAACAGATAACTTGTTAAATAATTTTCCAATTGGGAATTTCTTATGTCTCCTAAAATAGTTTAGAAAGATAACAAATACAATAGTAATGTAGAATAGACAATAGACTGTGATTCAGAAGACCTGTTCTTATATTTGACTTTGTAACCTTGGGCAAGTCACTTCTGAGCTTCAAACTATTTACCTTTCCAATTGAAATAACAGCCACCAATAATTGTCTTTAAAATGTGCTTGCCTCTTTCACAGTACATGTATTATACCGAGTAGTTGTCACAACAGTACTAATAAAGACCTAATATTACCTCCCATTTTACAGATAGGTAAAGTAAGGTTTTGTGTGGTTAAGTAAGGTTCCCAATACAACCCAGCTTGTTACTGGTGATGGAGCTAGAATTAGAACTCAGGTCTGCCTAAGTACAAAGTCTGTGTCCTTAAGCTACATCACATTGACTTTAAAAGAAATAATAACAATCATCATCACCATCTCCCTCCCTCCCTCAGAGTTGTTGAGGTAAAGAGAATGAAATAGTTTTAAAAATTAAAAAAAAAATTCCTTGCATAGGAGTCTCAATTCATTCAAGAATATATAGCTGTCATTCTCAGCCCTGGCTGCACATTATAATCATCTGGAGAATTTAAAAACGTCAATATAGTGAAAAGGGCAAATGTCTTAGTGTTAAGACAATAGTTTTAACTTTATAGACCCTTGAAAGTCTCGGGGAACCCCAACAGTCTGTGGACTACACCACTGTTCTTAAGGCAATGTTTCCATTTTTAAAGTATATACTTAAATGGATGAATGGATGTATAGGCATATTTTTAAAATAGGTTAACCTGGATTGAAATCCCAGATGAATCATTTACCAGCTGTATGTCCCTGAATAAATCATTTAGCCTCTGAGTCTCAGTTTCTTCAACTATAACACGAGAATAATAATAGTGCCTACCTCATAAGGATGTCCTAAGAATTAAACAAGATTAATTTATATATAGCATTTAGCAAAAAGACTTATCCATACTAACAGCCAAATAAATATTAAGTACTACCATTATCTATTACTTCTGTTAAAAGTGTTTGTGGTTCAGTTTACTATCTTTTTTCTTTTTTCATTTTTGATTAATTCATTCCCAAAAGCACCAGAAAGTTTACTATCTTAAAAATGTTGCCATTATGCAATATTCATTACTGATTATACCTTTTTACTCATATTTAGATATCATAGTTTTCAATACCATACCTATTTAAGCATATCACTTGACTATTAACATGTTGAGCAATTAGCTCCTATAGTTATTATTTTGGGTATTAGTTGAGCTATATCATAAGGATGGTGATATTTTCTGATAGTGATTATGCCTCTACTGAAATGGTAACTAACTATTCTAGTTCACAATTTTAAGTCAGTATTATAATATCCAATGTGTCCCTGAACTAATTGTGTAATTTCAGAAACACTTACAGGTTTAGACGCATTCTGAACAATAACAGAGCTATGTGAAGATTTAGATTCAGGATGAAATCTAGGCAAGGCAGCCACTGGACTTGATGTTGGGTCTTTGTAGTGTTGACTTGTAGGCTTGAATACATCAGGAATACCTGTATTTTAAAATTACATAATATATTGAATATATTTCTATATAACCAATTATGTCAAAATATTTCACTTAAAATTAAAATACTGTAGTAATACTGTACCTGGACTGAGTGCCTCACTCTTTATTCCCTTTGAAGATGAGCTGGAGTTACCTCTGTTCAAAATATCTATAACAATTATGTTTATTATAAAATTTGTTATGTGAATGAAACACATATTAAGAAAATTGAAAGGCATTCCAAAAATATATTCATACATGACCAGTAGGTGAAGTATATTTCTTTTCCTTAATGGTGAAAGAATTGTGTAAAGACTCAGGTTCCTGTGACTTGAAATCAAGCCCTTCCCCAACTCCATGCCACATTCACACCCTAAAAGCCTGCAAGATTTATCATGGGTGAGTGGATTGGATTATCTGCACCATTACTCTTGAGTTCTTCTTCTTTTTTTTAAATATAAGCACAGAAACAGCATAGTTTTGAGTTCTGAATGGTAAATTATGAAAGAATTCAAACTAGACTAAATTCAATTTAAGCGTTTACCAGAGTATCTGATTAACTTGTTTCAAATCTACCACTGTATCAAAAGTCAAGTTGAGCCTGACTAGATGCTCTGTATCAGTTTAAGATCACACACTCTTGTACCCACATGAATTCTGTAAATTCTAGATTATTGAGGTATCAAATTGAAATTTGGAAGAACAGAGATTTGTCTAAAATTGCTTATCAGGAAATGGTATAGAGCTTTAAAAAGTTCCATAAAATCTCAAAAATTTCCCTTTTTTCTCTCCTAGTAGAAAAGGACCAAATCCCATAAAATAATTCTATAGTAAGGGGACATGCAAAGTAGGGTTATTTCATGATCATGGAAATGCACTACTCTATGATTAAACAGAACATAAGTCTTCTAGGAGAAAAATCTGCTCAAACAACTTGATATTGTTTTCAATCAGAAAGTCAAGATAAGTATTTACTCAAATCATTAAAGAACAGCTATTTCTATGTTTCGGTGGCTGTAGTTTTACCAAACACAAGTTTTCTACCCCTTCCCATGGTAGTTCTACATAAACATTTAGCTCATGTTCCATATGCTAAAAATATTTTATGGCTTATACATAAAACATCAATAAAATCATTTTAAATTATGAGTTAACAATTTATAAAAGAAATTCCACTGGGGCCAATTCCTTTTTTGATAGAATCACTTAAAACTAACACACATCGTTTTAGTTGAGCACTGTTAACTGTCATTTACAATTAATATAAATCCAACTTGAATCTTAATTATCATGCTTTCAATAAGATGATTTGAGTAATAATTTTGAAATAGGGTAACATTTCAGCATAAAAATCATCACAGTGACTAGAAATAATTAAGAGAATACAAAAGTCTGTTCCACTGTCACCAATAAACAAGCCAAACATACCTAGTCCATTTTATAAGTTAAGTGGCACTCCACTAGCACCTTCCAATTTGCCACAGGAAATGATGCAGAGAATTTAATTGGCTAAATTTTTCTACCTTTGATAAAACTGAATAGAAGTGCTATGCCAAGCTTAGAGTCAAGAGAAGGAAGAAGTAGGCTTTCAGAAAATTTAAAATTCATTTCTTAACCACACTATTACCCACTGCCATGGTAAATAAAGGAAACTGGTATGCTGGTTACATTCCTTGGTAAATTCTCCAGGCTTAAAAATAAAGTAAATAAAATGGGAAAGAATCTGTTTCCTCTTTCTCACCTGAAACTAGGTATACTGTCCCTCGTACTTTACACAATTTTGAGAGGACATTTTAATAAGTATCTCGAGTATCTTCACTTTAACATTATAACAATATCAAGCCTAATTACTCTAACAGAAATCTAATAATCCACAAAGCTATGGGGCATATTTTGCTACAAATCCATAAGGATTTAAGTGTGTCGACTGCCTGCATTGTCTAACTACGGTGGCTAAAGACCAAGACCCTCCTCTTTCATGAATATAAATAGTAGTTGCTATTAATAGAAGATAAATGTAGCCAGAAGCTATAGCACATGTTGGTACAGAGACCAGAGATTGTATAATCATGCAGTGCCTATTCATTTTGTAGTCATATATCAAGATGACACTTTGATGACCCAGTTGCCTGGATGTGAAAACCCCCATCAGACCCTAACACAGATTTATTTAGTATATTCTGATATTTTAAGCAAAGCATTCCAAATACTTCCTTTTCTGTAAATCTGGGCTTTAAGGGGAAAAGGAAAAAAATTAAACAGATAAGCTACCTGGTTCCATTAAAAATTATGATTTCCAATCTCATAAGGCCTACAATGTTGTCAGGTAATCATACCCTCTAGTTAGTTATTTCTCTTTTCTCATATCTGATGTTTTAACCTCTTACATTCCTTACTCCAGTTCCTAACTACATCCCCACCCTGATTCTCACAAGTTCTTACTGTCCTTCATCCTCCCTCTGACATCCAATTACTTACAGAAGGACAAGGACATCAAAGACATAGAAGATGGCCCACAGGTCTTTCTGTTAGAAACAACCATCTTATAAAACTTTACTGAAAGTAAATGCTTACTTGAAATGGCAGGTTTTGAACTTAATATTTCTCCAACAAAGATCAGTTCATCATCATCTTCATCCTTAATTTCTTCTACTTTCTTCTGCCACGGTTCTAGCTCTTCTTCTTCACATTCCATAAAGAGTTCTGCCATTTTGGGATTACCTAATTTTCAAAAGGAGAGAAGCAACCTTATTTTCAAGAAGAAAAATACTTTTTTGCAATACATAGGATATTTATGTACTCTAATAGTCCTAATAGCAATTACTGAATCAATATTTGTAGTCAGTACATGGTAGCAAAGAACTCAGAACTCAATCACTAAGATCTAAATCGGTTTTACTAGCTACCTATGAAGGACAGCAGTTGTATACAGTGGCCAATAAATTTTAGAATTAAGTACAGTCAAAGTGAGTTTCAGTTATATGACCAGAATATAATTATATCCACAAAAAGGATTGTATCCATTATCTGAAAAAAAAACCCACCTGTATTAACAAAAGGGAGATAAACTAGGAATAAGAGGCAATGGGTAGAAGATATACTAGAAAAACTGAACCAGATTCAGGTATATCAGGCACAGAGCAAAGCAGGAATGATAGGCTAGACTGAAAATAGGGAAATTAAGTGAAGCTTATTCCATTCCAGGGCAAATCAGAAACTTCTCACCTGAAGAAATTAAGTAAAGAGCATACTATGAATAACACCAGTTTAAAAGTTCTCACCAAACACAGAGCTGCTAGGAAATACTTCAGTGCCTCACTCTTAAATGTGGATGAATCACCAATGAGTACCAGAAATTTGAGGAAAACCTCCAATGTTAAAGATCAAACCAATAAAACAGACCAAAAGATCTTAAAGAAAACAGAGATAATACAGTTGAGCAGGAGAAAATAATAGAGAAGCTATAATTAGCATCTTTAGAGAGATAAGGTATAAAAAGTAACATTCAGAAAATAAGACTATAAACAAGACAGCCAAAATTCAGTTAAAAAAAAAAAAAAACCAAATGCCAAAGTTAAGTAAATGTGGCACTAAAAGACAAAAAAATTAAATCAAGACAAGATTGTTAGAAAAATCAATTTTTTTTAAATTTTTTTAATTTTTACTTCTTTTTTCTTTTTTTGCTTTTTCTTTTTACCCTGGTTCAAGCTTTGATAACTGCAAGGGGTCAATTTCAAAGGTATAACCTTCACCTAATAAAGGCTACAGAGACTAGAGAAAAAGGAGAGGGGAGATAATCAAAGGAAGATTTAAAAAAATTCCCAGTTCTAAAGGACATAAATCTCTGGAATGAAAGGGCCCACCAGCACCCAGCACAATGGTCAAGAAAAAAAACCCTACAATAGAGAGATATATATCATGAAATCTCAGAATGTTGGAAATAAAGAGAATATCCTAAAATCAAGGTGGAGAAGGAAGAAAGTTAAAATAATGCTTACAAAAGTCTTAGTAAAAATAATTTTCAGTTTAGAATTCTACACTCAGCCAGTATTTTCATCAAGCATGAGGTACATATTCTTTCATCAAGAATAAAGACCAGCAATATCATACAAAATTTATTTCCTCTTCACCCTTTCTTTCTCAGGAAGAATCCACCAAAATACAAGACTCAATCAAGGAGGAAGACACAGGATGCAGAAAACATGCCGTTCAACACAATACAATTTTTACATATACAAGATCTCCTTTCCCTCCTTCTCTCCCTTCAAGAAACTGTTGTCCTACAACTTAAAGCCTTTCCAGATTGCTTGACTTTAAAAAACTGTATGTGTATTGTCTTGTGTTAAAAAGAAGTATTGAAGAAGACCTAAACTAAAATCATAGCGATGGGGTAGATACAAGTGGTGGAGGGAGATGTGGATGGAGGGATAACTAAAAAATAAATATATACAAACAAAACAAAACAACTTCAGGGTTCTAGCTTATACAATACCATCTTTGTTTTTTAAATGAAGTCACTTCTAAAAGTAATTTTACTATATTATAATAATGCTATTTCTACTTTTGACTCAAAACTAAGACCATACTTTAAGCATGGCCTTAAATGGCACTACTTGAAAACAATGATTTGGGTATAGCATACATAACAAAAACATCTTAACAAATTGATGCCATTTAAAAAAAATTTTAATTTAATTTCCTTTCTATACAGGTATGCCACAAACCATTTCTTAGCATAATGTTGCTTAATGTTTAGTAGTCTACCTACCAAAAAAACAACCAAACCTCCAACAAAAAACCTTCTCCTCTTCCAAAATGTAACCAATATTATAAACTGATCCCCTTCTTTTCTAAACCATACCTCAAAAAACATCATATAAAATGTTCTAAATCAAATAATTAAAAACATAATTCATAGTTTAGCATTTGCATATTCTGAATACTTGAAAACACCATCCTCAATGTGTGTCCCTCGAAGCCCTCATTCATACTGCTTCTTCCACTTAGAATATCCTTTCTCCTTGTACTGTCCACATCATTGAGTATAATGGAAAGAGCATGAACTTTATGTCAAATTGAATAGTTCAAATCTTCTTCGTACCATTTCTAATCATGTGTCTCTGAAGAAATTACTTGAACCTATTTCCTCACCTCTAACATGAGTACAATACGTCCCTAATAGAAGTGATAACAGATTCAGGAAAATGCCATATAAAGTATCTAACTTCAGATACCCAACAAAATATTCATTCCCTGCCCCTTCCCAATCTTAGTTCAATTATAACATTCTCAATAAATCATCAGACCTATTTTTCTTTCACTTCTTACTGCACTGACAGTCTATACTATGCTATTCAAGATTTACTATCTATGATCTCAAACTGCTCACTATTTCTTCATATGTCTTAGAAACTAGGCAGTCAGGGAATGTCAAATTTAAAGAAATGAGGGAGATCCATGTGTACCGTTAATTAAAAAATCACTTATATTAATGGTGATAACATGTGGACACATAGGTCTTCCATATTCTTTTTAATTGGGTACTGCCATTATCAATATAGCCAAGATATATTGTTGAGCAAAAATTTTTAGAAGGTACATAATAGCATATATAGTATGATATTATATAGAAATAATTTTTTTGTCTATGCATATAAAAAGTTTGTAATTATGTAGACCAAAACTATAATAGTAGTTATTTCCGGGGATGAGGAGAAAACATTTCATTTCTACTTTACTGACATTTTTACTGTATATTGCTAGGTTTTTTATTGTGAGTATATATTACTTTAATAAATGTAGGTATTTATGTTTTTAAGAAAATGTGCCCACCTCTATCTCTAACCTTTCCTCTTGAAGAAAGATTATCAGTACAAAAGCCATGCATATTAGTATCAACTGTGGCAGCAATACTTACTTTTTGGTTGAAAAGGGTTGTTGTCATCCATCAAGTTGCAGGATCACCTAAGTATCAATAAATGACAACTATCAATTTTTATGAGGTACTTTAAGTAACATCACATATTGAAACATGAAATTTGGGATCCAGAAATCTTTGGGTATATTTCGATCTCCAGCAAACTTACCATGTAACTCCAGACAAGATAATCAGTTAGGTCTGTTTCCCACCCTATAAAATAAAGACATCCACTATTAGTGTGAATTTTGTTAAATTAAATACACAGATTTAATATTTTTCTCCTACAAAAAGCTCACCTTTTGAATTTGATATGTTTTATATACACATGTAACTAAGTTTCCATAATTATTTCATTCCTGAATGAATGCAAATTTAGTAAATAAAATGAATGTATGAAGGAAGCATTTACTACTTGAAAAAATCGGATTAATTATTAAATTACAAATAAATTTTAAAAGGCATCCTTATGTAAAAATGTAATATATCTAGTTCAGTAAATCTGAATTTTGAAATGTGAAGTGACATTAATCTTTAATATTACCTATTCTTCACATTTCGGAAATGTTATTATTGTAAGAAAACACACACATTTATACTTTTTGTTTTTTTAAATCAAATCAACTATAACTGAAAAGTAACAGAAAAATTATTTAGATAAATTTTATCGTATCTTAATTCATTAAAAAATACTCATTGTCTTCTCGTTCAACTTAATGTGCTAAATTCCAGGGAAAAAAACAAAGATAAATAAGGCATAGTCCTTGCCTTCAGAAGTTTACAATCTAATATGTAAATGGTTGTTTAGGCTTTTAAAAAAGCTGTTATGGGTAATCACTCTGTGGTTTTCCCCATGTATATGTTTAAAAAGCTGTTACATTAAACATTATCAAAAAACATTTCAATAGCTTTATTTTAAACAGAAATTTGTATTTTGAGTTCTCATCTACATACAAAATAAACACTATTAAAAAACTATTTCAGTTATAAAATAAAAAAGGTCAAAATTTTAGACATCCAAAATCTAAAGCAGGATATACAGAGCTAATTCAGCCTCTAATTATTCTCAGACAGACAGAAGCAAACTTTCCTGAATTGCAAATTATTTGGATTCAATTAGTCCAAATGAAAAAATTACTTTAATTCCACAAAGTTACTGGTATAAAAGTTTAAATTTCTACTACAAGAGTCTCTAGTGAATTTTGCACTTTAGTAAATTTTCCAAGTTCTAAGGTCTCACTGTTCAAATTCCTTTAGCTCATTTATTTGAATAGTGCTTGTCCCTAAACTAGAATTAAGGTAATACATACATCAAGTAGACAAATATATGGAAATTCTTGCTCACCATTAAGGATCTGCTGCTACCAAGAACACAGAATATTTTTTGAGTCACGACTGAACAATCTATGATACTCACATAACAACAACAACAACAAAAAAAACTGTTTTAGAGACAGAGTCTTGCTATGTTGCCCAAGCTGGAGTTCAGTGGCTATTCATAGGCATGATCATAATATACTACAGCCTTGAACTCCTGGGCTCAAGCTATCTTCCCACCTCAGCCTCTGAAGTAGCTGGGACTACAGCATGAGCCTGGTTCAACACTTCTATTAAATGATCATAAAAAAATATTTATTGGCACAGACACCCTAAAATGAGCACTAAATATACAAGTAATCTATGTAAACAAGTCATATCCACTGCCTATGGCTATATTGATGGCTTTTGAGGCCCATAGCAGTCACCAAGGAGCCTCAATTGGTACATTTATAAACACTTTAAAAAGTCAGAAAGCCTTGTATGCCATTAGAAACATAACTTCAGTTTAGAGCTGTGCTATCCAATGAGGTAACCACTAGCCCCATGTGGCTAATTTTATTTAATTAAAAATAAAAATTTAGCTTCTCAGTTATTAGCCACATTTCAAGTGTCCAAAAGCCACAAGTGGCTAGTGGCTACTATATCAAACGGTACAGCTCCAGAACATTTCTACTGGACAAAACAAATCTAAAGACTATCATATTTAGTTCCAGTTTAAAAAACAAATAAACAAATAAATTTCATGGATTCTTTTGGGGAAGGATTGGAACCCTCCAAAACTATCACCACGAGAAAACCCTGAAGTCATCACTTCAGAGTTTTGGTGGCAAGGGAAGGAATTATATGGGGGATTAAGTCAGTTGTCAGAGAAATGGACTATCCAGCAAAGACATGCAGTAGGGATCTTAGAGCTCCTATAATATTAGTCGTGAACTCCAAAGGGACTCCAAGTTCTGCAACTCAGAGTTGGTATCAAAACAGGCAAAAGAGGAAAGAACTCTCCATTTCAGCTATTTATTCAGGTGGAGATACTTGCCTGTTTAAATACACTGTTCTTACAGGAGAAAATGAATTCCAACTAAGTGACTAATGAAACACCTCTTAAACACAACCCATTCACTTTTTGGAGACTGCCTGTATAAATAATTATTATTACTATTTAGTTATATTTTGGTTTCAGTTTTTATATATCTAAAATTCAACCATCTTTTAAAAGAGCTTGTTCTACAAAAAATATTTAAAAATGATGGATTAACATAGCTAAAATGGCAAAGTATATGTTATGTGTATTTTACCACAATAAAAATATTTAAAAAATTAATGGATACTATTTTATACTCACTAGGATAATCAAAAGACAGATAATAACAAGTGTTGGCAAGGATGTAGAGAAATTGGAACCCTCAAACACTGCTGGTGAGAATGTGAAATGGTACAGCCATGTGAAAAACACTTTGGCAGTTTCTCACAAAGTTAAACAGAGTTACCACATGATCCACCAATTCCACTCCTACGGACAGATAATTGAAAACACATGTCCACACAAAAATTTGTACACAAATATTCATAGCAGCATTATTCATAATAGCCAAAAAGCGAAAACAACCCAAATACCTACCAATTCAAGAATGGATAAACAAAATGTGATATACCCATAAAATGGAATAATATTTAGCAATAAAAAGCAATGAAGCACTGATACATGCTACAATATGGGTGGGCCTTGAGAATATTATACTAAATGAAAGATGCCAGTGAAAAAGACCACATATTATATTTCATTTATATGAAATGTCCAGAAATGGCACATGTATAGACAGAAAGTAGAGTAGTGGCTGCCTATGACTGGGAGGGTTGGGGGGAGTGACCACTAATGGGTACAGGGTTTCTTATTGGGGTGATGAAAATGTTCTAAAATTAACTGTGATGGTTGCACAACTCTGCAAATATATTAAAACCATTCAACTGTGCACTTTAAATGGGTAAATTGTATGCTATGTGAATTGTACCTCAATAAAGCCATTAAGAAAATAAGCCTGGAAGTGATGGAGTCACTTTGTGGAAAAAAGAGTACCTAATAAAGAACCCGGCAAAGAAGATAGCAAAGCCATAAGATTCTGGGGTAGAGAAAGAAAAAGGGTAGGGTAGAGAGACATTCAAGTCCTGATAATATCATTTAAACACCTGAAGCTAGTCATACTTGAAGCAAATTATCCACTAAAGTTTTTCAGTTAAGAGAGGAAAAAATTATTCATTTTTGGTTTATCCTAATTTGAGCTAGGTTTCTGGCACTTCTATTCAAGAGTAATAATAAACTCACCAATGGATTACCTCAACATTTTCCAAACCAGGGTCAACAGACCTCTAGGGAAAGGAGATATATTCCAGATGGTGCAAGAGAGCTCTATAACAATATAATTCTGTATTTTTGTTTTGCTGTCTATCTATAAAATTAACATAAGCATACTCTGGGGATTATCTGGATGACCACCTTATAACTAAGCTTGGCCACATAATTTCAGTGCTCATGTTTTTGTCTGTATTTACAACTGCATTGTCACCAAGTACTATCATTTTTATTGCTATGGCTTATTAGCAGAGAGAAAATATCTAAGCGATATGTATGCATTAAATGAAGGGTAAATCACAATATGGTTAGCTATACAAATGAAGGCATTAAAAAGGGTTCAAATAGAAAAATCTTGATATTTACATAGGTATGAATTATAGGTATGAAAACTCAATAGAAGTAGGCAGTGACTGCTTCAGGAAAATATATTATTCATTCAATATATTAAGTTGATTCAAATAGCATTGGTTGGTTTTGTAGTCTCACTTGATTGCTTTGTTGTATAATTGTGTAAGAACTCTGAGAATATTTTAACCATTTTAAGTATGGGGGCGTCTATGAAAATGTTTTTCTTATAACAGGAAGTGATTGGTACAGTACTCAAATCCAAAAAAACACCAGATTTTACCTTGGTTCCTTAGAAACTTTCACTGGAATGTAAACAATTCACTTTCAAACCAGGTATTGGGAACAAATCACATACAATTCAAAAAGAAAACAGAGACTCCCCATCATTTCTTTGTCTAAGAACTTTTTATATTGTGAAAATTATATTTTTTTGAAAGCCTGAACACATGAAATCCAGGTACATTTTGAGATAACTTTACTATTTTCCTCCTAATTTATTTGTTTTCAGTTTTTTGTCTCTTAATTTCAATCTTCATCTATTTGTAGAAAATAGTTAGCTTACACTAAGATTTAAAATTCATTAGCATAATACTTTACAAAGTTTGTCTACATTTTAAAATAATTTCCTCTATGTTAGTTTTTGAGATGGGGCACTCCAATAAAATTTACTTTCTACAAAGTAATTTTATATTATATTCAGGGTAAAGACTTCATAGGCATGTGATTTTATTATAATTCATATATAAATGATATAACCTGAGGAAAAGACTAATACATAATTACTGGCCTTTCAAAGTCAATCTGTATAGTAAATACTTTACATAAGTTTCATAAGATATGCTATAATTCCTAAAGTAACCCCAAGAAGTATGTATTATTAATACATAATATATTATTAATATATAATAATATTAATTAATTCACATTTTATAGGAGTAAAACTTTTAACCGGGGAAAATGTCAAGGAAGCTCAATGATGGGAACACTGGACATAGGGACTGAAAACCTGAGTGGGAACTTCTGCCCTATCACGTCCTGTTTGCCAAACCTACTGGAAGATTAATCATGCTCCTTGAACCTTTCTTTCTTTCTTTCATTTTTTTTTTTTTTTTGAGACAGAGTCTCACTTTGTTGCCCAGGCTAGAGTGAGTGCAGTGGAATTAGCCTAGCTCACAGCAACCTCAAACTCCTGGGCTCAGGCATTCCTGCTGCCTCAGCCTCCCAAGTAGCTGGGACTGCAGGCATGCGCCACCATGCCCGCCTAATTTTTTCTATATATATTAGTTGGCCAATGAATTTCTTTCTATTTATAATAGAGACAGGGTCTCGCTCTTGCTCAGGCTGGTTTCTAACTCCTGACTTCGAGCAATCTGCCCGCCTCGGCCTCCCAGAGTGCTAGGATTGCCGGCCTCCCAGAGTGCTAGGATTGCCCGCGGCGTGAGCCACCGAGCGCGCGCCCCGCCCAGCCTTACTTTCTATCTGCAAAATGAAAACAGTAATAGCTTCTTTACAGCACTATTGTGAAGATTAAATAAATAAAATACAAGAAATATTCTTATACAGGATTTTGTACTATTTTGCTTAACTTCTCCTTTAAAAAACTTTTTTTTTTTTTTTTTTTGGCCGGGCGCTGTGGCTCACGCCTGTAATCCTAGCTCTTGGGAGGCCGAGGCGGGCGGATTGCTCAAGGTCAGGAGTTCAAAACCAGCCTGAGCAAGAGCGAGACCCCGTCTCTACTATAAATAGAAAGAAATTAATTGGCCAACTGATATATATATAAAAAAATTAGCCGGGCATGGTGGCGCATGCCTGTAGTCCCAGCTACCCGGGAGGCTGAGGCAGAAGGATCGCTCGAGCCCAGGAGTTTGAGGTTGCTGTGAGCTAGGCTGACGCCACGGCACTCACTCTAGCCTGGGCAACAAAGCGAGACTCTGTCTCAAAAAAAAAAAAAAAAACTTTTTTTTTACACAACTATCGTTGTATAAAAACTTCTTCTTTACCTGAAGTCATACTACAAGTTGATGAGTACAAGCACTAAAAAGAGAACAAAATTCTACTTCACATAAAGAACTCAATTAAAATACTATCACAAATAAACTACATCAGATCAGTAGTTCTCAAACTCCTTTGTCTCAGGACCTCTTTTCACTCTTACAACTTACTGAGGATCCTACTGAGCTTTATGTTTATGTGGATCATATCTACTGATACCATATTAGAATCTGAAACAGAGACAAAATTTAAATATGTATTAATTTATTAAGAATAAAACCATTACATGTTAAATATAAATACTTTTAATGAAAATATTTTTTAAAACAAAAAATCTAGTGCAAAGAGTAACAATGATTTACATTTCCTCAAATGTCTTTAATATTTGTCTTAAGACAGCTGGATTCTCTTATTAGCCTCTGAAAAAAATACTGTATGATCTCACTTATATGTGGAAAAGAGTTGATCTCATAAAAACAGAGAATAGAAAAGTGGTCACCAGAGGCTGGGGGGAAGGAGGAGCAGAAGAGATGGGAAAGGGAAGATGCTGATCGAAGAGTAGAAAGTTTCAGTGAGAATGGGGAAATAAGTTTTAGTTACCTATTGCCCTACAAAGTCACCACAGTCAATAATAATGTATTATTTCAAAATTGCTAAAATAGATTTTTAATGTTCTCACCACAACAAAATGATCAATTGGTGAAATGATGTACATATTAATTAGCCTGATTGAATATTTCTATAATGCATACATAGATAAAAACATCATTGTATCCCATAAATATATACAATTATCAGATGTCAATTAAAAATAAAAATTAAGAAAGGAAACAAAAAAATGAAAAAAAAAAGAAAGAGAAACACTCTCTAAAAGAAAACCACTTTGCAAAGAATGGATCAAAAAGGTCCAAAGATTATACTTTCAGGGATCATTTCTATAGTTCTTTACTAGAGAAGTTTCTTTGAACTTGTAGAGCACTGGGGGGGAAAAGTCTAGACATACATTTTTGATCAAAATTACTGAATAAATCAAGTCTTCCTGAATCATTACTTGGAACAACCTGACTGAAAACCCAGTATTTTTAAGTTTTTCTCTGAGGCAGAAGATACAGAAAAAAAATTCAGGGTTATATATCTAATTAGTGAACATAAGTGATAAATATTTCTGATCTTTGAAAAGTGATTTTTGAATGACAAAATGTTTTCAATATAAATTTCTAATATCCTGTTATTTCAAGCTGTAAATTACCTTCTTTTTTTATAAAAATTGCTATTCTCTTTCGGTATTTCACCTGCCCACTTTGTTAAGCCACCAACAAATAAGTTCTTGGTATGGTTCTAAACATCCTGTTGAATAAAGAAAACAAGTGGGAGAAAAAGAAGGTACAGAACTGTATATCCCTTTTCCCTTTCTCTTTTCTCCCCTACTAAAAGAGACAATGCTGAGTAGTAAAATACTAGACCAAAAAAGCCAAACTGGACCAAAAAAAAAAAAAAAAATCTAACTGAGGAAAACAGGTCAAACAGGAAAAGCTGAGATTTGGAGTTCTTCAACATCAGAACTTTTTCAATAGGCCATTCTTCAACTTTTCAACATGCTTGGAAATATTAAATACTAAAAAGTTGAAAAAATACGAAGTCTTAAAATAAAGATATAAAGAAAAAGAGGATTGAATAATATTTCTTAAAATTTTTAAATGAGCCTCCTCATGGCTTATTCGCCTCTAGCACTTCACTCCCATAAAAAGTGGCATATAATATAGTGAGTGAACGGAGCATTGGATGAGGGTCAGAAAACCTAGGTTGAAGAATGAGTTCTAGCACTTCCTAGGCACTGACCTCCATAAAGTTCTCTCCTTGAGGATGTTTTCTCACCTCAGAACAGTTCTATCAGCACCTCACAGACCATCTCAAAAGGGGTGATTATCACTGAAATATACAAATGCAAGATACAATTATAGTGGAATTTGTTAAAACAAAGGTACACAGCCCTAACTTAGTTTTACAAGCAAACCAGCGCCTTCAAAGGCTCTGTAAAGTTTCTGCTTAAGGAGACAGTTTGAGTTTGCACAGTAACTCCCAAATCGGGACACCTCACGAATGCTAAGAGGGAGGCTTTTGTAGTCTAAAACTCTACTTCTAGGTTTCAATTTTATGTTTAACGGCACTAAAAGACATTAAATCTCATAGTCCAAACCTGAAAACAATAAAGTCAAAAATTTAGGCTCACAGATTAAAAAAAACAAAAACTCCAAAATTAATCTTTTCAAACAAAGAGAATCCCTTGGATGAAGGTTTCCCATGCCTGCAAGATGCTGGTTCACTTGACATTTTCCTCTCAAATTTTTCCTTAAAAAGCATTAAAACTTGAGATAAATTGAAAGGAACTTCCTCCATCTCCAGAACAGGATAAAACCTCAGAATGAGATAATTTTTTCCATCTCATTAAGTAAAACCTGCAAAGCTTACTGTTAGGAAACAGTGTATGTAACTCCACGTTTCTCCTTAGGGCTCTTATCCTCTAGACAATAACGGAATGGAGCACGATTTCTATGACAGAGAAGCGAAATCCCTTTGGTAAGGAACAAGGGTGTGCGCGTGGTAACCTATGGGGGGGGGGGGTTCGAGCAAAAGGAAGGGGACACAGGATCTCTGATGCCTTAAAGTTCGAACCCCCCACTAATCTCTTTTGGTATGACTGAAGAGACTTGGGGGTGGGCGGGTCTCGTTAGACATCAGCATCAAACATACAAAAGACCAAAGGGAGTTGCCTCTAGAAAGAAAAGCCAAAACCAGAATGGGGACGGAGTCATAGGCCTCGGGAGGTGAGAAGTCGGCCTCTAAGGCGGCGATGGCCCGCGAGGCCACTGCCCGCGCAGCAGCGGGTCGCCAAACCCCACCGACAAGCAGCTACCTTTCCGAGATCCCTCCCCCTTCAGGGCCGGCGCAAGATGGTGGCCCACCAGCTGCCGCGCCGCCAAGCCTATCCCCTCCCCCGCGCTCTGGTGGAGACTGACGACCCGCGCGGGCATCGAGATCCTCAGGCGTGGCTATCCTCGGAGCAAGGCGGCCACGACCGCGCGGGAGAGCCGCTGCCTGCTCCAGCGCGGCACAGGCGGGGGCGGGGGACGCTTACCGAGAGCAGAGCAGATCGGCCTTACTGGGGATCGGAGGAGGAGGAGGTGGAGAAGGAGGAGGAAAAGGGGAGGAGGAAAGGGAGGAGCGCGAAAACGCTAGGCTACCGACTCAGCAACACAGAGGGACGCCGAGACTTCCAGCGCGGAATGAGCGCCCCGGCTCACGGCTGGAATATATAACTATGCGCGCTGCCTCATGGGTAGACGCCGGCTCCACCCTCCCCGAACATCCGGGTACCCTTTCCAAGTGACCATGGATGGCGGGCGTCGACATGTGCAACCGTTACACACCCTCGAAGGCAGCGGCTCTCGGGCCCTGGGCCATGGGCCGTGGGCCGCCGGCTGCGGACAAAGGCCGCGGACAAGGGTGAGGGACCAGCGCAGATGCAGATCAATTCAGCGAACCTTGCACTTAACCCCATGTTGCAATCCTGAAAGCATGGCTGTACATTGTATTTGACCACGTGGAAATGTGAATTCTGTGTTCTCTCTGTGTGTAAGGGCTAAAGGCACCAGCTTAAAAATGCATATTGTTTATAAGAGGTGAGACACTTCTCACCTCTTATCAGATAAGCGAAAGGAATATACATGAAGTTATTAAAATAATTTCACCACATTTGTTTTAAACATACGGTTTTGCTTGCTTCTCTCTGTTATTCCTAATTCTGTAATAGTTACAAAAATGCAAAGAAAAAACACAAGAGAAACACATGCCAAAATACTGCACATTTTTTAAACATTGTGTTTTGAACTGTAAAGAAAGTTTCTCTCCCAAGTTTCTCCACAAGGTCTATGACACTACTGGTTTATCTTTCAAGAATTACCTAAACTTGCCTGGCTTGTTCCTTAACGCACATAAGAGTCCAATCACTGCATCCTACCCAATGTTTCCTATTTGAGCTACTTTCTTCTTTTTCGTCTATAGCTTCTGACCCCGAAAATAAGCTTTACAGGAAAAAACAGCGAGTCAAAATAAACATAAAAGTTTAAAGTTCCAAAATCTTGGAATATTCATAGTTGGTCCCCACTTCCAGCCAGGCTAATAAGAAAGCCAACATACCTGCCTTGGTGCTGGGAGGAATTTAAAAACTAGCAAATCTATAGCCTGCAAGACTCTGGCACCAGTGAGATATTTAAAACTCGCAACTCTCCAGTCTGTCTCCGCCTCTGGTGGAAAATTTAAAACTGGCAACAATCCAACCTGCCCACCATTTCTTTTGGAACAGGTGGGAAGTTTAAAATTTGCAAATCTACAACCCATGCTGGGGGGAAGTTTTCCCTAGTCTCACCCCCAGACACTGTAAAGGCCCGTAAGACTCTTTCTGCCACTTTCAACCTGTTTGCAGCACCCTCCCCACCCCCACCCGGTTCCCTAGGCAACAAAATTTCTCTCAAATTCTCTTGGTGTATCTAGTGTCATGAGGCCCCACATCTGACCTAAAATTAGGAGGGGGGAGAGTCAATCTGCCTCAGTAGGATGAGCAGAAAACGCTTATAAACCACGCTTCCAATCTAATTTATTTTTTTTCATGAAAAATATAACTGCCAAGAAGACCAGAAAACTCTGGTCAGTAAATTTTCTGTCAAAATGAAAGCTACATGAGAAGCCAAATCATAATTAAAGGATGTCTGGTGAGAATGGAATCAGCATATGGAAATTGTTTGAATGATTTTGACTGCTCTGTTCTTAAAACTCTTCTCCAAGCTTCTGGAAAACCACTCTATTGGTTCTCTTCACTAACTGGCCATTATGAGAACTAACTGTTCTCATTTTTTTTAAGGACTGCCGTTTTATTTATTTATTTATTTATTTATTTGAGACAGAGTCTTGCTCTGTCACCCTGGCTAGAATGCAGTGGTGTCATCATAGCTCCCTGCAACCTCAAACTCCTAGGCTCAAGTGCTCCTCCTGCCTTAGCCTCCCAGGTAGCTGGGACTATAGGCACGTGCCACCACACCTGGCTAAGTTTTCTATTTTTTGTAGAGACAGGGTGTTGCTCTTGCGCTCTTGCTCAGGCTGGTCTCAAACTCCTGACCTCAAGCAATCCTTCTGCCTCGGCCTCCCTCCCAGAGTACTAGGATAACAGGCGTGAGCTACTATGCCTGGCCAAAGACTACCATTAAATGATGGTTTACTCATGAACAGCCTTTTTTGGCAATTTAAAATATTGAGACAAATACACATAAATCCACCATTTAAAAGTGTGCAGTAGAGTGATTTCTCAAATATGAATTTATATTATGCACCCACTTAGATTAGATCACCACTATCTAATTCCTGAAAATTTTCATTATTCCCCACCCCTTAAAACCCATAACCTGTTAGCAGCAACTCCCAATTCTCTCCTACTCTTATGTGCCAGCAATCATTAATTAGCTTTGTATATCTATGGATTTGCCTATTCTGGATGCCGCATATAAATGCAATCATACAATATGTAGTTTCCTGTGTCTGACTTCTTTCATTCAGCATAATGTTTTTGAGGTAGGTTCATCCACTTGTAGCATGCATCAGTACTTCATTCCTTTTTATGCTGCATAATATTTCATTGTACAAATATGTGACTTTTTGGTTATCCATTCTTCAGTTGGGCATTTGTGTTGTTTCCACTTTTTGCCATCGTGACTAATGCTGCTATGAACATTGGTGTACAAGATTTTTAAAAAACAACTTTATTGAGATATAGTCCACAAATTATACAATTCATGCACTTAAAGTGTACAATTCAATTGTTTTTAGTATATTCACAAATACATGCTACCATTACCACAGTCAATTTTAGGACACTTTCATTACCCCAAAAAGATACCCTGTACACATTAGCTACCATGCCCTTACCCACCCACTCCCACCCCCAGCTACCCTCCAGCCCTACACAACTACTAGTCTACTTTGTGTTTGTATGGATTTCTCTGTTCTGGACATTTCATATAAATGGAATTATATAATATATCATCTTTTGTGACTAGCTACTTTCCCTTAGCATAATGTTTTCAAGTTTATCCATGTTGTAGCACATGCTTCTTTCCTTTTTAATGGCTGAATAATATTCCATTGTATGTCCATAGCACATTTTGTTTATCCATTTGTCAGCTGATGAACATTTGTGTTGTTTCCAACTTTTGGCTATTATAAATATCCATGTACAAATTTTGTGTGCAAGTATATTTTCAATTTTCTCTGTTATATAACTAGGAGTGTATATGCTGGGTCATATGGTAACACTATGATTAATGTTTTGATGGATTGACAAACTTTTCCACAGTGGATGTACCATTTTTCATTCCCAATAAAATTTATTTTGATTCCAATTTCTCCACAGCCTTACCACACTTTCTCTTTTCCATCTTAGTTTTTTGTTTTTTTGTTTTTTTTGGTTATAATAATCCTAGTGGGTATGATGAGGTATCTCATTGTGATTTTGATTTGCATTCCTCTAATGAATAATGTTGTTGAGCATCTTTTCATGTGTTTATTGGCTATTTGCATATATTCTTTGGATAAATGTCTATCCAAATAAAAAGTAAAAAAGAAAAGATTTGTAAGATAAGACATAAATTCTGTACTTAGAAGTTATTCTGAAATAACAACAATAAACTGATATTTGGTATTAGATATTGATTGCTGTGCCATTTTAGCATCTGCTGTGGTTTTACATATTTAATTTTTGTTAATTGATATTGTACATACCAATAAGCTATTGCTTTGAGTTTTGAAGTTTTTTTTTTTTTTTTTTTTTTTTGAGACAGAGTCTCGCTTTGTTGCCCAGGCTAGAGTGAGTGCCGTGGCGTCCTAGCTCATAGCAACCTCAAACTCCTGGGCTCCAGTGATCCTTCTGCCTCAGCCTCCCGGGTAGCTGGGACTACAGGCATGCGCCACCATGCCCGGCTAATTTTTTTTATATATATATCAGTTGGCCAATTAATTTCTTTCTATTTATAGTAGAGACGGGGTCTCGCTCTTGCTCAGGCTGGTTTTGAACTCCTGACCTTGAGCAATCCGCCCGCCTCGGCCTCCCAAGAGCTAGGATTACAGGAGTGAGCCACAGCGCCCGGCCTGAGTTTTGAAGTTTTAACTCTTTGCACTTGGATGTTGAGTGTGGATAATGTCGAGTGGATAATGAGAAAAAAAGCAAGCGAGTGCAAAGGGTTAAATTTAGATCTTAATATAATTTTTCTGATCATTAAAGAAATACAAGTTCATTATAGAAAAATTTGGATGTTTAGGAAAGTTTAAAGAAAACAAAAATCATGAATGATGCCACCATCCAGAGGCAAGCATTGGTTAAATTTTATTTCCTTCAATTTTTTATTCTCCCTGTTTTTATATAATTAGGGTTGGACTGCATATACAAATTCACATTTATGATCAAACCACTTAGTAATAGAGGGCTTTTGAATAAGTCCCAAGGATGATCAGCGCACTTATACAATTTCTACGAAAAGAGAATTTTCATACTCCTTTGGTAACTGTATGCAGAGATTGATATAGCCCTTCAAAGGGCTTAAATTTATGTAATCAGTACTTTGCATTGTGCTATATTTTAGAGGAAGGCACAAAGAAGTTTACAATATAGACCATTCGTTTTTTATTATTTTTTTCTTTTCTTTTTTTTTTCTTTTTTCACGGATGCCTCTGGCAGATAGACCATTCTTTTATAGCATTAATATCTAATTGGCAAGTTAGGCACAACACCCCAGAAATGATTAGCGAACAATGCAAGAACATGTATAATCAAGTACTAACTTTGTGTGGCTCAGACTATCAAGTGCAGCAAGAATTCAGAGAAATGGAAAATTAGAGCAAATGGAAGTAGACATGGAAAGACTGGTCTTAAGCTGAGCTTAGACTAAGCAGGGTCTTGAAGGATGAATACAACTTGATAAGGCAAAGAAGAATCATAAATGACTGACATAAGAGTCAGAAGGTAAGGAGACATAAATGAAAAGCATACTTCTGTTAGACAATGAAAGGACCTCTATCTAGTAATGCTCCGCTGCATTTTATTAATTGCATGAATAGAGAGAGAATGAAAATAATCAAGACTCACAGTTGGGAACTGGCACAGGCATGAAAAGTCAAACTATGGTGGAGTTAGTGTAATTCCGCTAGATTATAACTCCTACGAAGGCCACGTGGCACATAGAACAAAATCCTACATATGCAGAGTTAGTGC